TTGTAATTTAAATACGTATATAATTTTGGGGAATAAATTATACGCAGTAGCTTCCCTGGAGGGCCATAATATTATTGGAGAAAAGCATTCACAATTTATTTATTTTAGAGAAGTGTGGTGATATAGCGCCTTTGCGTTTAGAATAACGGCAACGTCACTGCATAAAACCATAAACACTCAACCTGATGTATCTCTGCAGTAGAGCTAATGAAGAGACTGTCTGGGCCGGATACGCCTTTGCATGATGTCATTTAAGCTACCGAGTCCAGGCCAAGTAAACAATGTTTCATGTTTGTTTTGTTGTTTTATATTCATGTTACGAGTAAACTCACATGTAGCCAGGTACAATAATGAGCGAGAACCACGGCCTGAATAGATTCCTTCCTACCATTTTACGACAAGCATGATAGGGATATAGATCCCAACCGTAAACGATCCGCGACTCAGCCTTTGACATCTCTCGATAATTCCAGGGTATATGTTCCGATATATTCCACTGAACCCTGGATGCATCTATATAGTTCTATAGTTCCTGTTAAATTATTTCAACCTTTGCTGGCTTTTTATCCAGAACCAGATATCGTCAAAGTTGAGCGTTCCAATCACAAGGCATCCGCAATCACTTCCGCTTCTATCTAACCGATTAAATCCAGCAATTGCTAACATAATTGCCGAGGTGCCCTGAAGAGTGTAGAAGGATTTCTTGCACATATATTTGAAGGTTTCGGACTCCGTCAGTTTGTCTGTATGTTTTTTCACCTACATCTGAGTCACAGCGAGCAAACTTTGCGGCTGCAGCCGCCATCCTTGTTGACAATGGAAGCCCGCCGCAGTCACGCTTTATCTGAGTCGATAGTGTGATGGAGCCAGCAAAGGGATGTAATAAATTTTTGGACCGAGTCGTATACATCCAGGGTACTACTGGCATTTATCGGAACGGCCTCTGGCGATTATCGCCAGGATGAGCCTGCCATTACGCAGCCATCAATAATATTACATACGTCTGGACGATGAAAAGTTTATTGTGGATCTATCTTATTGTAAAGCGTATCATCCATGACACCTCAACAACTTCTTTCCTCTATCCGCAAACCCTACAGTGTCGTCCCATTCAAAGTGTAAAACAACAGTAAAGAGGTATTTTAAAACAACTCAAAAAATCATTTGATACTTGTGGGTTTTATTTTAAAGAAGTCCAGAATTGTTTGTAATTTTATCAATATTGATAAGTAAAATAGCTACTGAAGTGATGGTGTAAATCCAGTCGCCCATATCGCGGCGCTTTTGTCGGATCGTGTCCTATATTAGGTGTAACGTTTGACCCTCCTGACTCACACCCAAACCCTGCTGTCAGTAAAGCGCTCCCGCAAAGCGTGACTCGTATTAAAACAGTCCGGTTCCACTGCCTCTGGTTAAACGTAACATGTCTGCGTCTTGATAGGTCCCAGTGTGGTCGTGTAGGTCGGGAACCAGCAGAGCACAGTCAGTTCCTGGAGATATATCCTGACATCTTACCTCTGGAGCAACTAGTTGCTGGAATGGTTGCAGTCACAAAATATGTGGCGAAGATCTGATCTGTCACACGATGCGCTCCGGCCTTTGGGCGACTGCAACCGAGGGCTCGTGGAACTGCTACGACGGATTTGCAGTGTATTTGTTGTCACATCAAGACAAACCTTCCTGTATTTCCAGAACAATCAAAGGCAATAATGTCGTGATGATTAACATAAATTGAATCGCAGGCTCCTTAAACCATTGAATAGTTAACACCATATTTAAAACAACCAATGAATTTGTCCGAATTTCGCGTGCTTCTTTTCTCATCGCGTGTAATGAATGTTGATAGTGGAAGATACTAGTTTTGATAGTCATAAATTAAAATACAATAATCATCGAAGATTTCAAATTGATGGCAGCCTGCCGTCAAGATGATCAGGTTAATCGATCAGGGAAACCGAAACAACCAGTTGCCGTTCGGAATACATGTATTCCAGGCGATGCAAACGTAACTTCTGTACAGTGCAAGCTTCATGTCCCTCAGTAGAATTGCATTATAATACTACTATATATGTTCAGAATCAGTCATTGCCTGCTAATCACGAAACATTTGTTTCAAATTTGTTCCTGCATCAAATGCTATGAAATAGCATTTAATTAATTTACTAAAAACTACTATTTCAGCTGAACCATGCACATCTACCAGAAATCTGTATTTATTAAAGGCTGACAATTCACCAAAAGAAAAACCAACACAAAACTGTACCGTATTTTTGGCACAGCAGCCCAAATTGAAAAATCTTTCAAAAGGTATAAAGGGCATATTCACAAACCGCAATAGAGGATTCTTCAACAACCAGGATATTCAAAGTCCAAACTGTACGCTCTAATAGTGATACTCTTTTCCAGATGAAACTTTCATTTCTCATGGTGGCCACACTCAAGAAGATGTGGACCAGCTGTTCAGCGTGCTTGTGCAAGTGGGAGCTAAGACAGAACCTGCTGCAACACGTGATGCCTCTCCTGCAAGTCCTTGCTAGCAGTAACGACCCAAAGTCCCGTCCGCTTCTGTAATTGATGGTGTTTGGGACATGAGGCAGTTGTTTATCAACTGTGATTCACCTAAAGGACACAAGGAGGCACATGTGTCTTCCGAATGTTCAGAATGAGTGGGTCCTCGTCTCCATGCTTTATAAAGACTGGCTACTGAAAAGTGAAACCTACAGAAAGGCGCGTCATTAGGATTCAAGGCTGACCTGTCAACACCACACCTGTCACTCTGACAAGAAATGTAGATGACACCTGTAAAGCCATGTAGAGAGACTTGGCCAAATGGGTCGCCCCATCAGGCTGTCTGAAGAGGAATGCTTCCCAAGTCCAAGATGATGGGGGCAATTCACACATCGGCCATCAAGCCGTCCGACTTCAAGCCCTTCCGTCCTGGAAGAGAACAGCCTCCTGTGTCTAAAAATGCGCAATAGAGCGAAGTAATGAAAATGCAGAAGCTAAACGTCTTATTTTATTGAGTTCCAATTGTTAATAAAAATGATATTGTCATCTGTTATACAGCGTTAGAGAGCATTTACGGCGTAAACATCCAGACATCAAGATGAATGATTCCATCCGCCTCTGTGGTGTAGGGAGTTAGAGTCCGCCCGGAGAGCGGGATTTGGAAACAAGATTTGGTTCCGTCCAAACGGAGGGGTGGGTTTCGTTTCCAATACGTCGAAACTATCTGTAATATCTTTCAGCAGAACTTAGCAGATATATGAGACATATCACAAAGATATTCTAGCTATTTGCAGATTTTTTCCAGCATCTAAAATTTTCCTGGTTTCCACCACGAAACGATTCAGACTTAGTTTCATATGTGAGGGAGGGTTTTCAACTTCTGAAAACCTGTCATTTTTCTACAAGACTGGCAGACATATATCAAACAGATTCCTGAAGTGGTGCCTTTGCTATTTGCAAAAATCTTTGGCACTTATGTTTTTATGATTTGGCGGAAGCGATTTTGACGAGTCTAAAACAAATTCAAGTTGGACTTTACAACTGCCAGATGATTTGTTCTTTTTCAAATATACAAAGCGTGGGGTGGGGATTTGTCATCTTCTGATGTTTGTTGGAACCAGGTTGTTAAGTCTGATATTGATGATTCCTCTTGTAAATATCCCTTCGTCCAGGAACAATATAAAACATAATGGTCCCCTGTCATGGTTAGAAAGTCTCTTCTTTCTGGAATTCCGTTTTGATGTACTTATTGGATCATATTGTGTTATAATTGAGGTATAAATTGAATATGTGATTGATGTAGCGGTTTGAATGCAAATCCTAAAACTAATTATCACAAAAAGTTATTTAGTGTTAAGATATAAATATCGTGTGATAGGTCTCTCTGTAACACAGCATTGTCAAACTTGTCAGCTTACGACAATAAAATCCTACTTTCATACATTTTATCTTATACGACATTAAACATTTGCTATAATCTTTTCGAGCATCCAGATCTAAAATAAAGTCGAGCGAAATAACTTGAGAAACCGTGTTGGTTAAAACTACTGAAGATGTCACAATGATACCTTCGATGATTCCGTACAAGAAGTCCGTTCTTTATGTATGTCCCTCACCTACGATATATTAGTTTCATTTTTTATTTACATGTTATTCTTGTTATAGTTTGTCAAAAGTTTTAAAATTTGCTTTGTTACAAAGTCCGACCGCCATAAAGAAAAGCATGCCAACCAAAGCGTATAAGCCTTTGTGTTTGGAATATATATATATATTTGTATATGTATCGGCATGTGTCCTGTAATGTGGTCTGCGGCATTTGCGAAACAATACATGCAGCTATGTTATATGACCTTGTTTGTGTTATTTTCCCACCGTCTGATGTTAAATCTGCTTCTATGATAGTACAGAATATGATGACAAATGACATTTTTAATGCAGATGAGACTGGGATCTTCTATAAATTGTTGCCTTGAATAAACTTTGACTTTAAAGGTACTCATTGTCACGCAGGAAAGCGTAGCAAAGAAAGGTTGATTACGCATGGTCGCAGCCAAAATGACAAGCACAGAAAAACTTCCACTTCTTGTAATAGGCAAAGCAATGAATCCTCGCTGTTCAAGAATGTTAAGTCTTTCCCATTAGAGTACAATTGCAAATAAAAGGTTTGGATGTTACCAAGCATTTTTCAAGATTGGCTAGTTAAGTTGACGAAAAATGCACTGCATGGCGACGAATTGTGCTTTTATTGTTGACAACTGTCCAGCCCATCCTTATAACCAAAATCATCAGAACTGTGTTTTTGCCTCCGAACACAACATCCAAGACTAAGTTGATGGACTAAGGCGTCATCAATAACCTAAAGATCCAATCCACCCAACGTCCACCGTTGATGTAATGCAATAACCGCCAGTTAGAGAGGGTTTAGACCAACCAACCCCAGACAGCCAATCAAACGCCAGCCAAGATCTCAGACCAGACCAACACCCAAGACGATGATGACAGCGCGACCTGAGGATGATGTGCCCCTTTTGCCACCTACTCTTGTTAACAACATCACTCTTGCGCAGTATGCCAGTGTGGATGATGACTTAGTAACCAGCTGCCCTGCCAGTGAGCAAGACATCGTCCTAGAACATTATTGATTCCAGGACCAGGACCCAGCTTCTCAGTGACGACGAAGATGAAGACGATATGCCTCACCTACCTATTGATGCCACAGCAGAAGTCGTAAAGCCGTCAGCGTTGCGTGATATCGCAAGACGACGGACACGGTGTAATGAGAGGCTACAACATGGTGGCCAACCATGTCGCCAGCGAAGGAAATACCAGAAATCGTTTCACAAAGAGACAATCCCTCATGTACAGCTTTGTGGAGCAAAAAGTTAGACTGTTAGGCTAAAATAATTTTTTCGTTAGTTTGATTTTTATTACTTTGTATTATAAATGTATTACTTTGAACACAATGAAATGTTAGGAATAAAACATGTCATATTACTTTACAAGTTGTCTTGTTGTCTCTCGTTGAATACATATATATGTCAAGTTGATAGAAATACCCGGATAAGTAAACAATTTTGGCGAGTCCCTTTGAAATTTTACTTATCAGGTTTATACTGCATATCCCATCTTGATTGAATGGTTGATTTCACCAAGCATTCTTATATTTGGCTGGCCTCATTAAAAGGTTGTTACATTTTTAAAGTCACATTTACTTGCACACTGCAAATTAGATAATTTCAAAGTAAAATCTGACAAAAGAGCAATTCATTTAGACAATTTTAATGTGTGCAGGTGTACAAATAATGAAGTGCCTCTGCTTAATATGGTTTCAAGGATATGCATCTGCCATAATCCAGTGTTCAACTGTCCAGTTAAGGTGCGATTATAGAAGCAACAGAGGCACATAGACCATATTATAAATCTTTTCTGCCAGAAATTTCTGCAGAATACTTCTTGCCAGAAATTTCTGCAGAAAAAAAAAATTCTGCCAGAAATTTCTGCAGAAATGCGTTTTCAGAGGCAATTTGTGAGCTTATGAAAACATGAAATACACTTATATTTTTGGATTCATCTTCTTTGAGATCTTTCCAATGATATAAAAAATGTTTTGTAGCATGCTTCCTTCTGGTACTGGTTAGGACTGGCTGGCCATTCCTAAGTTGTCCCGCCCAGCCTTTAAAATATCTTGACCACCAGAAAATGGATCAGCTGATGGTTATTCGCAACATTATGGGGATATTTTGGGCAGTCAGGCTTGATCGGCAGGAATTCGCCAGCAGGATTTATAAAGCAGCAAATGAATAGTTAACCCCTTTTGTATTAGTTAGTAGCTTTCAGGCGAACGTTTGATCTTCATAATGAAAACTAAAATGGAACGAAAGCCGCCAGCCGAGGCAATACGGGCAGCATCAGGTTATTTACTGTGAAGTCAGTTGTTCCAAAGAAATCAATTTTGTCCTTTGAAATAAACTATAGGCGTAGGGTGTAACGTGCGCCAAACTTTTTCTGAGACAGCATACCTCTGTGCAGTGATGAGCCCTCTAGTAATGCAAGAATCCACAGTCTGTGGACTTAGGTATCGTGTACTCCCGATAGCGCAATGGTCTGTTCATTCTGTCCACCAAAGTGTTATAAGTTAATAATATTTAAGCAGTTATGCAAAACTGAAATGTATCAATAAGTGAAAAACACTGTTTATAGATTCAACAACCCCGGACAAGGAAACTATCAGATATGGAAGTGCGTCAACGGCCAACTGAGGACTCTCCAGAGAAGGCTGACGCATCAAGTTCAAGTCTTGCAAATTCGACACATCGAAAGTAACCCTGAAGAAAGAGATTGGTCTTTAAGTGGTGTAGCCTTTGTGGTGGGATCAATCATTGGTACGTTTGCGGAAGACGTATCATTAATGGAAAGGTTAATGACAAGGTTCTAGCTGGATTCCAACTCTCATACATGACCAGTACTTTGATGATAGTTTGTTTGTTGTTTAACGTCGCACTCAGCAATACTCCAGCTAGTGTGGCGGCGGTTCAGAAGTATCTTGTCCTGAACAGACAATCCAGTGATCAACAGGCATGAGCAAGCCTGATTCCTGATCCGTTTTAGTCGCCACTTACGCACAAACGTGGGTTGTTGAAGACCAATTCTAACCCGGATGTTCACAGGTGTTTGTAGAGGGAAGGGAAGCCAGTAATTGTCAGTGTAGGGTATGTCATTGTTAGAGGTAAGAGAAGAGGTGAGTGGGAAAGGGAAGGTAAGGGAAACTAGAAGGCCAGGAACGCAAAGGGGGAAGGGACAGTTGGTTGGAAAGAGTAGGAAAAGAGAGAAAGGAAGTGGAAAGAAAGAGAAGTAAAGAAGTGTGAAAACGAGTTGTTGTAAAGTACATGAGGAGTTTAGTTTTACGCCGCACTCAGCAATATTCCCAGCTTTATGGCGGTGGGCTGTAAATAATCGAGTCTGACCAGAATCCAGTGATCAACAGCATGAGCATCGATCGCAATTGGAACCGGTGACATGTGTCAACCAAGCCAGCGAGCCTGATCAGCGACCAGTTACGTCCGATCCCGTTAGTCACCTCTTACGACAAGCATGGGTTACTTAATTAAGGTATATTCTGCAACCCGGACCTTCACGGGTGTGCGGTACATGAAAGATTCCTACGATTATGTATCTGAACTAACAGAGAATGTAAAGTGTAACTATTTTGTAGGTTCTGGTATCTTCTTCATCTCTCCCTAAGGAGTTTTTGAGGAACACAGGCTCAGTGGGAATGTGCCTGGTTGTGTATCTAGCGGGAGCTCTCCTCTCTTCTCGGTAAGTATAACGTCTGATATGCTGGAATAGTTTCGCACGTATAGATGTGGATGAAGACATTATTCAGTGGTATATATCAATATGATAGTAGTGAACTCAAAACTAACTCAGTAAATAATTATCTTAACACAAGACTTGTGTTTTCAATGGCGAATAACGTATATCGAGGTCCATATTTGCTTTGTATTGTTTTTTCCCTTTCAAGCATTTTGCAGAACAGGGAACAAGTGCAAGCGTTTAACATCTTCGGTTAGGATGGAACCATATATGGCCCTTTAAGCAGTTACGCTGTAGAGAATCTAATGTGACTCTACTGAACAAAAATTGTTTCATCTTTTCCCATTCTGTGACCTTTCAGGTTCGCTTACCTTCACTGAGTTAACATCCTCACACGGACATCTGGAGGGGAGTACGCAGTGTTGCTGAAAACATTCGGTCCCTATCCCCGCCTTGTGTTTGTATGGTCCGTTGAAATCGCCGTGAACACATCGGCAAGAGCCGTGCAATGTCTGACGGTCGCCGAGTATCTCTCCGCCTTCCTGGAGCTGTGTGGGTCCCCTGAACCGCCGAAGAAGGTCGTAGGGATCTGCCTTCTGGGTACCTGTTTGTTCACATCCCTAAATGTCCCAACATACTCATAGCAAGAACAGAAGTTGGAATTAGTGAAAACAGACTTCTTTATACACCGTTGATGTAATTATATCTTCTACTAATCCGCTCGTCAATATATACACTACCTTATTATATTTTTTCTATCATCAACTAATCTTGCCTGTAAGATCTACAACCACTCAAATTGGTTTGTTCATCGTAACTATCAAAACAATCAATCAATCTTCAAAGGTTAAACTGCCATGGATATCGAAACTATCAAAACAATCAATCAATTTTAGAAGCTTATCGGCAATGTAAAGTAAATCTCTATCATTTAGGATAAATATATAAGCTTTGATCTTGATGCAACTGTGTTGGAAGTTTTTCTAGGCACAGAGACTGTTCTCTATAGGTTCGGATGCTGTTCTCTCCAGTGCGGTGGCCGTTTCTCGACTTTGGGGTCCGTTTTCTATGTATCACAAATCGTTAATTCTTTCTTGGCGTTTGTTTTTTCTTTATCAATTCTAGTTCTTCTGGCCATCACCACCTCCTACAGCGTGAAGGTTGTCGGCAAGGATACAGGTCTTCTTCACTGCTGCCAAATTGGGAGCTCTCGTTGTGATCATCATCGGAGGACTGGTCAAAATAGGACAAGGTAAGCAAGAGGACAGATATTGTCATACATACAGCAGACTGAATGGGAGTGAGTTGGATTATCGCAGTATTCTATATACAGAATTTAATTGAAGCAAACTAAGATGCCAATGTTTTAACCTTCCTTTTCGAATAGTGTCCTGGCAGTTTTAATGACACTTTATATAAATGTGCATGTCTCATATGATTACAGTTTTGCGTCATATTTACATAACTATGAGCGATTTGTGATTCAGACTTTCGGTTATGACAAGTGTGTGTGTGTGTGTGTGTGCGTGCGTGTGTGCGTGCGTGCGTGTTGTTTAATAGTGGCTCGATCTGTTGGTTTACAGTACCAACTAAGCAAGACATCCGTATATAACAGTAATACTTTAGTAAGTCAATAGTTGGAGCATAGCTGCGTTCTTGTGACCTAATTGGATGGACAAAAATGTTCCCATGTAGGATGTCTTCTCTTTCAGGCACGGTATCTGAGCTACCAACTGGGTTTGATGGATCTGTGACTAAGGCATCCAACATCGCTCTGGCGTACTACTCGGTCAATGTTTGCATATGGAGGATGGTAAGTTGATGGTAGACCATTTCAGATTTGGTATGTGTATGTACTGAGTTAAAACAACACCCTCGCCAGTTTGATCCTGTTTAAGTTCCCGCACATGATATATAATAATCCGCCAATTGATACAATTGTTTCCTTTCGGAGATTTCTATTACTACAGTACATCATTTTCTCCTGAAGATCTTGTTCGAAGATTACTCCAAATGGAATGAAATATGTATGCATTACCATGTTACGTACGAATTATTGAATTTCTCAATCTGCAACCGAACCCTACTCTTTTGAACTTGTATGCATTGAAAATATAATTTAAAATAACATCTGAACACATCAAGGGACAAAAATGAGTGAGTATGTCTTAATGCTGCATCAGCAATTTTGCAGCTATTCGCGGTTCAACAGGTGTGTGTCCAAAAAGACCCTCATATAATTTTAATGTGTCCAGGATGTAATGTTGAACAGTTAAATAACAAAACAGACCAGTTGGAGCGTATAGATCCGTACCATCATCCTATCAATGTGTGCTTAATACAGTTTAACAGGTTTCCTCGTCATGTAATTACAATATCACCTTCTGTTGTTATTTTAGTTGCTCATGTTTATCTGTTTCATGTATGATAATTATTCTTCCTGTGCATTATTCACTCAACCATTTATAATCCAGGACCTTGCTCAGATCATTCAGTTTTGCTTCTTTGTTCGGTGTTTAACGCCGCACTCAGCAATATTCCAGCTAAATGATGTCTGTCCCTAACTAATCGAGTCAGAACCAATCCATCTTTGCGTGTCAACAGTTTGAGGACCCATACCAAAACATCGCTTTCACAGTGGAAACAAAACGTATTATCCTTAAATTTTGTCTCTCTTTGTCATGTTTAAGAAACCATATTTTGAAAATACCTTGTTAGTCTGACGTATTCTCAAAAGGCAACCTGTTCAAGCTTTATCTAAAACGAAGTTTTACGAAGACAAGCTGAATGGTTTATGAGACCAAAGGTTGTTCTATACAAGTGGGTATTTTTCGAGGGAGTGCTCACATTTTGATTTCGAGGCTGTATGCAGAGCTCCAGATAAGATTTAGCTCATGTGGGTACTGGACCCACTGTATTTTTTTGAAGTGGGTATTTTGAATGTTGAGTGGGTATTTCATTTTCCGTTACCCACTGCTTTCAAATATGTGCGTATTTCAGTCATTTTACTCACCTAAGTATATGTCATTGAGTAAGTTTACTAAGCAGATATGTTCTGCCTTATGTCATACCTAATCAAAACCAACTTTAATATAATGGAAATGATTTACACTTTTTTGTCTTTCAAGGAACAACGTCAATTTCCTAATAGAGGAGGTGAAGAACCCTCGGAGGTACTATGTTCATTTGGAAATTAATGATTTTGTCATCAAACCTATAAACCCTGTGTCATAATTTGATGAGTATGCAAAATAAAACTAGTTTTGAAAAGATCTGTGGCTCAATGTATCTGTGCCACTGCCTACATGCTAATGAATGCCCTTTAACAGTCAAAACAGTTCAGATCGATGGTTCCTAATTGGCAAGTGTGCATGTAATTTAAACAAGAGTCATCAGAAGATGACAAATCCTCCAGGCCCTCACAAATTTGAAAGAACAAATCATCTGAAGTTCCTTAAAGTTCGACCTGATTTTTTTAAGACCCTCACGAATTTGAAAGAGCAAATCATCTGAAGTTGCTTTATTTTTTAAGCCTAAGTCCAAATCGTTTCCATGGGAATCATGAAAAATAAAAATGCCAAAAATATGCAAATAGCAAGACACCATTTCAAGAACTGTTTGATATATCTGCCAATTTTAATAGAAAAATATTGGAGAAAGATATTGAAAGGTTTTGAAGTTGTGTTTTGAAGCCCACCCCTCACTTTTGAGACTAGGTCCGAATCGTTTCCATGGAAACAGGAAGAAATATAAATGCCCAAAACCTGCAAATAATAAAAGACACCACTTTGGGATCTGTCTCATATATCTGCCAAGTATTGTAGAAAGATATTGAAATGTTTTCGAGTTGTGACCCTGAAATGAAGTCCATCCCTCCCTATTGAGATTAAATGAAAATACCAAAACTCTGCAAATAGTAAAAGGCACCACTTTGGAATCTGTCTCATATATCTGGTAAGAACCTGGTACTATGTAGGTAATCGGACGGTTAACTCACGCATTGTAATGTTCCGCGATTTATGGAGTTCTTATAGTGACTGAAAATATGGCTTAAACGTAAACTAACCGGAAATGTTTCCAGAACGACTCTATGTGATAATGATATTATTACCTTCGTGTCTTGCTCTACCCTAACTCTATTTAGGGAATGGAAATATATTCATGATACACACAAACGAGTCGCATACAATTTTTATTCCAAGTATAATATCAGCGTCTGAGTCTTCAGTAAGTATAATTAGAAGATCTCTCCAGTTTACGCCTTCAACTAAAATATTATATGTTCCATCATCAATATTACAGACTGAACGGGATGTAGTTTTCATGCCGATGTTCCTGAACAATCTGCGTTCTTAACATTCAGAAACGGCCCATTGTCGAGTATCATCGGTGTAGCGATAGTTGCTGTTGTCTACATCCTCACCAACATCTCCTACCTTGCTGTCATGACCCGTCAGGAGCTGTATCAGTCATCGGCTGTCGCACTGGTACATTTATTGAATGATGGGATCCATCGATACTGGTATTGATCATAATCTGGTGTTGTTTGTATGGCAGGTTTGGATGTTGGCTTATGATGAAAAGGAGGAGCAATAGTGCCTTGTTTGTACGAACAAGGTGGCAATTTTGTTCATGCTCCACAGGCTGCAAGGATCCCATGATTTAAAATTCGGATCCCGGTTCTTCGTGATTTAGTTACTACGTTTGGTTATGCTGTATGGGTTGCCTCCCTTAGATATGCCAGGATCCAATAATTTTGGATTCGAATACCGGTTTGCTACTTCAATTATTGGGGGTTTCTGATACCTGTGTAACTTCGGGCTTTCATCCAACTCTTCATCCAGACCTGGGGAGACAGGGTCCTGGGTTCAGCCTCCTGGATTATTCCGATCTCTGTCATGATGTCAGTGTACGGCAGCGCTAATGGTGGGATGGGAACAGCTTCTAGGTAAGTTGTACATGAAGAGACTTGGTACCTCATAAGGGTTATGTATAACCTGTTATGTTAGAGGGGGTCCTTTCTAGTCAAATGAAGACAGAACGAGCCTGGCGACATTCACGTGTTTACTTAGATGCCCCAGTTAGAGTAACTCCTCCTTTGCTAGCCTTGCGGAGGCTACATACAGCTACCACTACATAACCAACACTTATGAGATACAGACTGACGAAGCACGACGACGTCTTACCCTCATATTATACATATTATGCCGTGTGGTCCTGTGCATAGAATTCAGGTCACAACACAATAGAAGCTACGCAATGTTTATCGCTGGGAGCCTATGGGTGGGTGACTGTGTATGGCAGCTTGACTCCTGAGAGTTTCAAGGTCTTCAGTCCTGCCCCACGACGAAGCACATGTGGCACATGTGGTCTTTACTTAGGCAAGTGAGTTTGTTCAAAATTGCTTCTGTTTACCCAGCAGAAAATGGGTAACCAATAAGATAAGTCATGTGACTATTAACCTGCTAGCGCCTCACAATTTGGGTTATCCGGGGTAATAACAATTAGGCTGTAGCGCTTTGAGCATGCCCCTCCGTGGTGCCGAATTCAGCGCATTACAAATGCCCTTATTATTATAAGTAAATGCCTGTAAGTAAGCACGCCAACACTATGTGACCAAGTCGGTGACATCGTTCCACACGATAATGCAACCATCACCGACCATTATATTATCAGCCAATCAGGAAACAGAGTTTGCTTGATTTGCCAAGACATCACATGCAATACAACGTACACAAGGGTCTGCAAATGGCAATGCGGAGACGTATTAACAGCTTACAGCAATTTGTATGTCGGTGACAACATACTAGGGCATGTCTTAACGGTTCATAACATACACAAACTAGTTTTAGCGAAACCTCACATGTCCTTCCTGAATCAATGGTACCCTACTTGCTATTCTTTCCAGGCAATTTGATTTTGGTTCGCAGAGCATCCTAAAAAATCGTCAGGGTTAACAGTGAGATTTCTAATCAACATTCATGAATTTGTTTTTGATTGGAAAGCTGTGACCATTTTGGTTTCATTTTTGTATCGCTGTCATTTTGTACCACTGCACCCACCATCCACCACCACCATAGTTCCGCCAATGACAGACATACCCATTATCAATGAAATGACCTGTATAAAGCGTCTATCTCTGCTTCCTGCCATCTTCCTTTCTCTTAGAATACAGTTTTCAGCAGCCCGTGATGGGAACTGGTGGGAGTTCCTGTCCTATGTCAACGTGAAGAGGTACACGCCCATGCCATCAATCATTTGTCACGTGAGTGGGAGTAAATGTTGTTTTACGTCACCAATCATTCAGCTGTATGATATATACCAACGGAGAAAAGTAACTGTACGTCATGTAAAGTTCAATCAAAAATACAATTACACTGAAATTATTTTCACTTTCAATTCATATTCATGGAAGCATCTCCTCGACTTAAAGGCGGACATCTCCATGTGTGTTGGGAGCATGGTAGTCATAAATGTTTTGGGGAACAGTCTTTGGTTTACGTAAGGAACCATATCCCTGAAGCTGTTTTCAATGGGGACCATGAGTAGGTCACGGCACTTTGAGATACCTCGGTACTCCCGGTGACAAACAACGTGCTAAGTTATATTTGGCGGTCGCGCGATTTGGAATCAGAACTGGTTCTTGAATATACGCTCGTCACCGGAAATCTGGATCCGGAAGTAAGTTCGGTCCCGTCTCGCATATCGCAAGTTGGCGCGCGCAAGGGGAACCGGGAGGAGCGCCTCATCAACAAAAGGGAAAACAAACTTGCTATCTTTGTTCGTTTAACTTTCAACGCTTTTCGTGGAATAAAACGAACTGTTACTCTACGAGTTTAAAAGATCTGTTTGCGCTTGTGAACTTTTGATTTTGAAACGGCAACATTTTAAATCGACTGTACAATGATTGTGAATACTTCCTGGTACATTTCCGTTCTTAAATTGTCGATAGATATGAATATTACTTTTAACCACACAAGGACGTGACACAAATACTGCTGGTGTGACTAAATTTTAACTCACTCACTCACTTACTCTGATGCATCTGTCATAGTCACATTGATGTTTTACCATACATGATTTAAATTACCATAAAATCTTATTTATGAGGTATTAACATTGCCATTATGTAGTTTAACTCCTCCATTCTCGATTGAGGTCCTGGGTGTTGATGTTTGGTTACAGGTGCTCATCTCTGCCTTCATGACGCTACAGGGAACCGTCACCAGCCTCATCAACTTCCTCAGCTTCACCCAATGGGCCTTTTACTGTACCTGTGCTCTATGTTGTCTTGTGCTGAGGTTCAAAATAAAAGACGACCCGAAACGAATAAAGGTATTGTTTTATATCACCATTCTGATCATGGGGGTGGTGAGGTAGCCTACTGGGTAAAACGTTCGCCCGTAACGCCGAAGGCTTGGGTTCGATTCCCCAAATGGGTACAATGTGTGATGCTCATTTCTGGTGTCCCCCGACGTGATATCGCTGGAATATTGCAAAAAGCGGTGTAACACTAAACTCACTCACTCGTCTGATAATAGTTTCAAATCCTGGTTCAGCACGTTTGTGTATCTTGGTATGCGACAAATCCATATCTCCAAAATGGAATGCATCTGTACCTTCGACAGCAGCAGCCTCACACGTTTCGCAGTCAAGCCGTGATACGACTCAATCATCCATTATGTAGTGACGCTGGAGTAACCGTATTGATTAAAGCGTCCACCAAAGGCTCAGGTTCGAATTCCCACATGGGTACAATGTGTGACGCCCATTTCATGCCCCCCCGTGTTATTGCTGGAATATTGCTAAAAGCGTCGTAAAGCCCTACTCACTTATTCATACATCGTGTGTCCTATTTTGGAACGTGTACAACAAATTCGATTCTTTAAACGATATAAAGTTATAGTGTGTTCAAAGAGGTATGAATCCAACTCACTCACTCATCTTGTGTCTGATCTTGACACATCTACAACAAACTCGACAATGTAATCCTTAGTTTACCTTCTTCTTTCAGGTTCCAATCCTCATCCCCATCTTCTTCATGCTGTGGTGTCTGTTCCTGGTCGTGGCACCTATTGTAGAGAATCCCCATATTGAGCTACTGTATGCAACCATATTCGCTGTTGGTGGCCTTGTCGTCTATTTCCCACTCATCCACTTCAACTTGAAACCGAAATGGTTTGGTAGGTATAGAACAGTACGCCAGTACAGCTGACAAGATCAGACATTCTAAGAATTGCTTCACAATGTATATCAAACAGGTGTTCACTTCCATTAACAATTCATTGGTGTCAACGTTATTCGATTTTTATAACCAATTTAAAACATTCCGTCATGTAAACATCCCAAAATACCAACAGCAGCCAGATTAATGTACAAATATCTGGACACATAGGGTGATACAACGCCCGTTATTCAAATGGTTCCTTAAAGAAACTCTCGTTTGAAATACAATATTAACTAATGTCGAGACCAAATGCTGAGGCTGCTTCATAGAGCTGGGATAACGAGAACGTTGACTACTGGGGAGATTAAGTCCTGCCCGTTGTCAAACAGCATTGTTATTTCACAGCGTTATTGCACTGAGAAACTTTATGCAGAAGTTTCAGTATGAAACAAAGATTTGGTTTCTATGTATTCTCGTTATATCTAGTTCAGATGGGTAAATCAGTAGAATAGAGGAGGAATTATTGAACAACAGATCATCCACATGCCTTAACTTTATTATACGTCTTGGCCATATTCTCATGTTTTGATTCTTGCAACCTCAACACCATTCTCTTCCCACAGAGGTTACTTGTCATATCTTCCTACGAAGGAAGATATGACAGGAGTAACCTCTGTGGGAAGAGAATGCCCCAACACAAAATCCGATTCAGAATATAAGATAAACCCACAGATAAAAAAGAGGAGGTGCACAATTTCTGACCTAGGTGATGCCAACTTCTTTCCTGAATGTCCCATCCCCAAATTTCACATAGCTATTATTTGTGACAAAGTTAAGCCTTTCTAAAGGGAACTTCAGATGGAATTTGCTTTCACCCTACACGTTAATTCCGGAATGAAATAGTGACGTGCATCCTCAAGAAAACAATTATTTAACTAATCCCATTTTTGTTTACAGAAAAGATAGAGATGTATCTTCAACTACTGATGGAGGTTGCACCAAGTAAATACGTGGACTCATACTAAATAGATGGACCACATCTTCACATAATCAGATTACAGAGAACATTTGGATGCCAAAAAGGAAAAACTGAGCCAGTTTGTACACGCCCATCACTGTTCGAGCTTCGTCGCAACCTGGACCTGAGTGCATTCCAAGCCAATCGCTTTGAGTAAGCAAACCCAGTTTGAAGCTCACCCTCTTCTCCTCTTCCAAATTGGCGACGCAACTCCTACTTAATTGCCTCGCCCTAAGGAAGAACTGTTGGTGAAAATGAGGAACAAACTGAGGAAGTTGCAATGTTAGCTGCTTATTTACAAGTTGATCCAGTCAGCTGTCAAACTCAACTTCCTGCGGCCGCCATTTTGGTTTGGGACAAAAGCGACCTCAGCCAGCGATTTGTGCGACTCAAATTGCCTAGGTCCCGATCCACAAAGCGTTCGTAACGTTACGACCTGTCGTAACCCCATACTTTATCAAAAGTCTTGCGAAAGTCGTAGCGCTACAAACGTTTGGTGGACGGGATCCTGGACTTAAGCACCACATGCTTTACATCGCATACAAGCGGTTTGTATTTACAACGCACCTCGTCTCTATCGCCATGGCCATCACAGATATTCACCCTGGTGACGACGTCAGAGGACTTTGCATTTCCCTGCTTTTCTTTGTCTCATCTGATAGGCTTCTGTACGTCAACAGACTGAAGAATTTCGAAGACGAATATCTTCAGACGGTAGCACGGGTAGCTGTCTCTTCCAGCCAGTATCTCACCTGTGATGTTGCTGTCACGTTTGTATTTATCAGCGGTAACTAATAATTATTGTTCTAACAACCAGGTGTAAAAAAACATGCATTCGTTGTTTTACTAATCCTTTTTCTTCAATAATTTATGAAACACAATACATAATTAATGTTACTTTGTTGTTATAGCTAATCTTTTACCAGTCGACTGAAACGTGTATCTCTGTAAATACGATACTTCCGAAATAAATTTATTTCCACGGCGGAAGGTCGCAAACATCTTAAACATGCCATCCGGTCTTGCTGGTATTGTCGGTTCCATCCACACGGCGCTCGAAGCAGCAGGTGGGAGCTTTGGGCTCCCACTGTAACAGCGAGTAATGAGTATCCAGGAAGAGTGAGCTGTAATATTGATGTGTGGTCCCGTCAGGCCACACTGTGCCAGTATATTTACGACCTTGGAACTGCTACACAGAAGCGCACAAAGTCTTATCAGATGAATACGGAGTGACTGGGTGGGGGCACCGACTGCAAACAAAGCAAAATAAGAAACAAATGGAAGCAATATAGTGAAATTAAAATATATGAGCGGATATAGATCTTTGATATTGTGAATAAACACGTTAAAATAGAATAAGATAAGTAAACAATAATGATAAATAAAAGTGGGAAGAATAGTGAAATGAGGTGGGAGGGTGAGAAGCAGAATTTTGTGCAGAGGCGAACAGCTTCATGTGTAGTAGTAGAGGAAGTGACGGCGCTTCCAGCGGATATTGCGTGGCTTTATTGTAGACTGCACTTGAGGCAAGTTGGTGGCGGAAGTGAAAATGAGCTTCACCGCCGGATTTAGGCGGTGGACGGAGTAAAAACAATGGAGGTTAGACAGATGAATGAAATGGTTCTGCAGGCCATAACAAAATTTAGCCAAATGTCAATAAGTTTGTACATTCTTCACTGTATCTTTTCTGAACTAGATTGTATCCACCACAAGGCGTTAGGCTGTCTTGGAGGTATTAGGACCTCACTGGTAGACAGTCTATATGCTGAGACTAACGGAAATCCCCTTGAACAATGCCCCATTAAACTTTCACTGCAGTATATCACTAATATAAAATCCTCACTCTTGCTTTCAAGTGCCTCCATGACAAAGCTCCAATCTATCTGAAAGATCTCCTCAGTGAATATGTCCCACCACGGCTTTTAAGATCAAGTTCTAATTGTCAGTTGAATGTCCCCAAAGGTCAGATTAAAGTCATATGGACATAGACAGTTCTCTTACACAGCTCCCTTTTCTGGAACTCACTGCCTCTTCACATCCGACAAGCCGCGTCCGTGGAATCTTTCCAGTCCCAACTGAAAACTTTCCTTTTGAAACAAGCTTATGAACTTTAATCCTTTCTTCAGATCACTCTATCTTTTTAGCGCCTAGAGAAATTGCCTTGCAGTTTGATTTGTGCGCTATACAAGAACACTTATTATTATTATTATTATTACATTACCTTCAAATCAATCCAATGCAGCATACAATTGTGTTTTCAACCCTCTCTATGTAAACCTGGTGAAGCCACAGGTGGCTCTTACCCTCAACAAACTAAAACAATCCGAAACAAAACCTTTGGTGTTTCAACAGGAATTCAACCATTTGCGTTCTAAGTATTACACCGATAGAGCCACTTTTACAGACGGATCCAAGGATGGTGGCCAAGTTGCCAGTGCCACAGTCATTGGATCAAAGACTGTTTCCTCAAGAATTCCCGAAAATGGTTCTGTTTTCACTGCTGATGCCACATCTATCTTCACGGCTTTGACCTATGTTATACAGCAGAACCATTCCAAAAACGTCATCGTTTTTACAGATTCATTATCTTGCCTTCAGGCACTTCAAAATGTTATTTCAAGTCACCCTAGCATCCTGGACATTTTAGAACTTTACAACGCTCTTTCTACTGGCAAGTAACACTGCAGCTCTTGACAAGCCGCTATTTCCACTGCTGATCCCGTATAAAGTTATACTCGGGACCTTAGTGCGTAAAAGGTGGGACACCCAAGTAGGAAGAAATAAACTTCATGAATTGAAACCAGCAATTGGTTATAGGTACTTGGGTTGTCAGTCATAACGAGATGAGGTAATTTTACGATGACGTCACATTGGCCACAGTCGGTTTACTCGTGACTATCTGCTGAAAATGGATAGAGATGGACCACCTATGTGTGTCTCTTGTGGTCAAGTGTTCACTATCAAACATATTCTGCTTGGCTCAGCAATAACATGTACTATACTCTCCCAAAAATAGAAACGCATCATGAAAATAGCAATTTCATGTAGCAATGAATTAAAACGTGATTCATTTTACAAAAGGTTTTGCTCTGTTTATGAGTCCTATGGTGTTTATGTTTCGAAACATCACAACAAAACGCACCATCCGTAAAATACCCGTATTTAACAGCATGATTTTCAATTTCGGCGTGTAGTGTCACAGAATACACAATTCACATGCAATGCACGTGAAAGTTGGGGATCAGATAGTCTCAATGATGGGTATATAAGGTTGATCGCTGTCTGTCGATTATTCTCTGTATTTGGAATATTGTTGACGAACGCAAAATGACACGTCTAAGTGAAGCCAACCGTCATATCGCCATTGGTTTGCTTTGAAGCTGGCCAGTCTCAACGTGCAGTTGCCCGACGCATGAATGTTCACCAAAGCACCATTTCAAGGCTCTGTGAGATATCGCCGGCAGAATTCGGTAGCAGATGCCCTCGTAGTGGGCGACCTCGAGCGACCACTGCGGCGCAGGATCGCTACATCCGGGTACATCACCTGCGTCATCGAACAGCTACGGCGACCAGTACCGCTCGACAAATACCCGGATTGAGGAGGCTTTCTGCACAGACCGTCAGGAACAGGTTGAGAGAGGCTGGTTTACGTGCCAGAAGACCTTATTTTGGCCCTGTGCTTCGACAACAACATCGTCGACATCGAGTTCAATGGTGCACCAACGTTCAGGCCTGGAACCTACCGAAGTGGCGTAGGATCTGCTTCAGTCATGAATCACGATTTCTATTGGAACGACGCGATGGAGGAATGCGGGTGTACAGACGTCGACGTGAACGTTTCGCCGACGCTTGCGTTCCCCAGGTGGACAGATTCGGCCGGGGCAATGTTATGATGTGGGGAGAGATCACCTGCGGTAGGAGAAGTGATTTGGTGATGATCCAGGGCAACCTGACAGCTCAACGGTACTGTGACGAAATCCTACGCTCACACCTCCTTCCAATCATTGATCGCCAGAGGGAGTTGTTTCAACAGTGCAATGCCAAGCCCCGCACAGCACGTCACACTACAGACTTCCTCCAGAACCACAACATCAATGTGCTCCCCTGGCCCTCAAGATCACCGGACTTAAACCCGATCGAACATCTGTGGGATGCCCTGGACAGAAGGGTGCGACGCCGTAACCCTCAGCCCCAGACACTTCAGCAACTCGCACAGGCACTACAGGCAGAGTGGGCTGCGATTGGGCAACACGAGATTCTGAGACTTATTCGTTCGATGCCGAGTTGGTGCCAAAGTCTGCATTCCCAGTGTGCAATTTCGCTATATTTCATTGACTCATAAAGCCTACAAGATGTTTCAAAATAAACATTAAAATACAGTTGAAATTCCTATATGCGTTTCTTGTTGGGGAGAGTATATATACACTTACAGAAGATACATTTTCTGGAACTAAACTAGACAAATAATCTGGGACTAATTTGTTAACCATTTTGTAAAATATGTATAACTTTTGACGGCGTCTTCTATTTTCAAGTGAAGAAATATTTGTCTCAGAATATAGTTTATCATGACTTGGGCCGCGAACAGCTCCGCGGGTAGTTCTGATTGCGTCCAGGTTTAATTTTTCTAAAAGACGCGTTTGCTCTTTAGTGCAATTATCCCATACGTGACACGCGGGTAACCCCCCATTACCCCTACATGCCACTACCCCTACAGCTTATAACAACATAGTTTACGGTCTGTTGCACTGTTAATCCACTGCCTGTTACACGCGTAGTCGAACAGTGGTAAAATAAATGAGTTGTACATTGTCTGCGGCGTTTTCCTGTTGAAGAGATATTTAAAGCTTCTGAGGCAGTTTATCATTGGGCTGACTTTATCACATTTTCTATTTGACTATATCTTGTTGAAGAACTATACCCAAATGTTTGTGAGATGAGACGTCGTTAATGTTTGTGTTATCCATCGATAAGACTGGTTTCATATTCTTAATGTGTTTAAGGTTAGATTGAATATAGACCCAGTCTGATGTTACAGATGAATAATTATTCATACATTGTGCTGCTACATTTGGATCGTTTATAACTACATAGAGCGAAGTGTCATCAGCAAATATAGCCGTATATATTACTATCAATGTCATCGACGATATCGTTGATATAAACTAAGAATAATAGCGTCCCCCCCTTCCCCTCCCACCCCCTGTCTCAAACGTGCATTTTCGTGTTTATTTACCTGTGGGTTATTTTATGAGCGCATCCACTGATGGGAGTTGTATAGTAAATAGGAAATATGGGTGAAGTTTGTATTTAGTCATAGTGATATAGGATGGTAAGTGTATTCTGGATAAATAATTGTTGATTCGTCAGTATTGTCCTATAATCCGTTAGAATCATATTTCGATTTCGTTCGATTTCCTAATTTGTACTGTATCCGGTTGCCATTTCCATTCCGCAATTTTAAGCAACCTTGTCAAAATGGTGTTGGAAAGCACGATTGTTTGGTAAGTATTTTTCTGTATTTTGTTTGGAATAGACCTTGTGCATATCTTTTTGGAAGTGGTATTTGTGAAGAAATGAAATTTGACAGGTATATGTTAGTCAGTTGCTAATATACATTTATCATCATGACCAAATACCGACATGTCCAGATATGACGATGCACATTTGGAACTCGTCACCTATTTTCGTTAGATTATCTGTAGTTAGAATTGAATATTGTCACTTAAATATGAAACGATTGACCACATGTTGTGAATATAGGGGACAAAGCAAATACATTTGGTTAGAATTCCGACCGTAACCCCCGCTTGAAATGTATTCTGTTTAGTATGATTTTTTTCTAGTGCTTAGGGTTTAGGTGTTAGATTAGCATTGGGTTAGGGTTAAGGTAGGCTTTCTATAAAAAAAACCCCCAAAAACATCTATTCTTAGGCATAACATTATAAAAAGGGGGTTACGGGCGGACATCTTTCCCTTTCTACGTGTCCTTTGAAGAGAGATGTCTAAATATCTTGTTTTTATTATTTAATGCTGTTTATCAATTTTTAAAAGTCATGCATGCGAGTTTCTATTCTTATTCAATGGGGTATCTCAGTCCATTTTCAACATACACTCTTGAGGTTTCTTTACCTTATGTCATGAAAGAGTACAATTATTACAAATACTATATATGTTTTGGCATTAAATCAAGTCAGAGGCTTTGAAAAAAAATAGTGCATCATTAGAATTGCTGAGTGAGATACAGCCACCCCAGAGTTTCCTTGGAATATTATTTACATCCTGAATGTATATACTACAGGTACAGTATGGACTGTAGGTTCCAGAAACTGATTTCTCGTGAGACAATGTTAATAAAGGTGGTCCATTGTAAGGTCCATGTCTATATTTTCAGTTGACGGATGTTTAATCTTCTTTTGTGCCATAAATAATGTGATATGATATAGTTACTTAATACTATTTGTTCAATGTGATCGCAGCAATTCTGATTTTCACCCTTTAACCCTGAATATGAAGCTTGTCTCTATTATCGCGGTATTGCTATTTTGTAACTATAGGATGTGGTACAAGCATATAACACTGTCAAACGTTTGCTTAGAACAAGTAATGAGTCTTAACGGTTTTAATATTAAAAAATCTTTATGAATTTCATTAGGATTATTAATGTAATTCAATTTTAACCAAACGAATTGAAGGTACAAGGATACAGGGTAACAATAACATAACAAAATGTTTTTTGCTGCTATGTGCACTGAGTGTGAAGATGGACAGTACATGGTCTCCGGTTATATTTTTAGGACAGTAAATATGCAGATGAAGTTATAGTTGTCGCAGGATTACTCTTAAAGAAGTAAGTTTTGATTTGTGCAAGATGCAATGGCAGTAGGAGTCAAATCAGTTTCATAAATTAGACAGTTTCATCTAGTAGACAACTTGGACATTATAAACCTGGAGTTGACAATGACTTTGTCCCAACTCGACTTGAGGCATAACAATCTTTCTCCTTTATTTCCAGTGTTGACAACAGTGACTACATGCGTAATGGAGACTTTGTCCCAACTCGACTACAGGCACAGCAAGACGCTGTAAATCTTGTTTGTCTGTCAAAGACGAGAGCTAATCCAGAGAATAATGTGGGTCTACTGAAGATGTCTGAGTATGTGCTTGTAATGATCTCTTACCATGGTTTTTGTTACTAGATCCCCTCATACATTCCTCTGATGCTTCTATCATTTTGTGTTCAGTTAATCATTTCCAAAAATTCCAGTGATGAACATGATGAAAGATACAGTTCATATAATATCATGGTGGGACAGTGGGGTAGTCTAGTGGTTAAAACGTTCACTTGTCACGCCGAAGGCCCAGGTTCGATTGCCCACATTAGTACAATGTGTGAAACCCATTTCTGGTGTCCTCGCTGTGATATTGCTGGAATATTGCTGAAAGCAGAGTGAAGCTGTACTCACTCACTCACTAATATCATGGCACTGTCCAGATATTTGTGGCTTTCTGCCCTATGCCTTTTTTATGTAAGTTGATAATCCCAACACATAATGTACTCATGGAAACGATTAAGGAACACATGAAAGTACAAGTGTTCCCTTATTTATTTCCAGAATTTCACCCACAGTGCAATACATACCTTGTGAAGAAACCTGGAAAGTGGAATAGAATAAAGTAACACTTGTACTTTCATGTGTTCCCTTACTCGTTTCCATGAGTATATTTTCCTTGCACAGTACCGGCATGTTGTTTTTATTAGACCTTTAGAAAATTTTCATGACATTTAGCATTCCAATATTAGTTATTTTACTTACTTACAGCAGGGAAGTTTATCCAATTAGTTATTGTTTGATATTGTCATAAGTAGTAATTTTGTCATGGTTTGGTTTAGAGTTTTTTTTTCATTAGCAACAGTTCTTACCTGGAATCTGAAAATTGTCCAATATATTTTTTTAAATAACCTGAATTAAAGTTTGTTCCAGTCAGTTTTTAAGCCAACAAATATGATATTCTTTATAAATACTTGTCATTTTCCAAAAATATTTGGTGGTAGAAGATTACGTTAACAAACAATATGACATGTATGTTTATCATGACTACTTGATAAACATGCTGCCATGTTTACCATGTTTACAGGCATGATTACACCACCAAGATACTTTATGGATTTAAGCTTCTTTATTCTTTTCCACACAACATTTCGGAATCATTACACATCCCTTCATCAGGTGAAGTCTTCATTACACCAGTCCGTGCAACAAATACTTGAGTCTTTTAGTCCTGACTAAACTTGATAAACACGTTGAGTCTTTACGCTGCCATTCTGTGTTCATGTAACCATGGTAACCAATAGTGGTGTAATGATTCATCGATAGTATCCATGTTTGCATCGTCAACTACTCGATACGAGTGTATCGATACAAAACACATATATAAGGCAATATATTGGTATATTTATATCTCGAGGGTCCATGATACACCGATGTATCGCCACAAGAGACTATATATCTTGATACTACTTACGCAATTTACCAAGAAAACAAAACATTAGAAAGCTTAACAGATTGAATGTAGGCGACTGAGTGCATCAGGTAGAAGGAACATGTATAAGTGAAAGAATGTGAAACATTTTTCAAATTCTGTGAATCGTAGAATACTTGTCTTCAAGTAATTGAAATGGTTTAGTTGTTTGACAAATAACACCATTTATTAACAATTATGAATGACAATCTTAGCTTTGTTAAGAAAGAGAACAAAGATAAGATAAAATTTACAAAGCGGACTTAAAGAGTTTTTCTAGTAATTCTGAATTCTGATATTAATTACATTCAATTGTTTGTGAAAGCATTGGTGTGGAAACACAACTTCCCAAGGGAAACTTCAGTTTCAGATTTATTTATATAAGATCAAGGTATACTGAATATGTTTGACTGTACTTTAAGTATTAAATGCTGAAATTTTATTAGATAATCAGCTTTTTAAGTTCTGCTGTATAACAAATAAAGCTTCAGTCATTTTATCTATCATATCTGTTCTGTTTTTAGAAATGGTAAGTATCGGGATACGTATCGTATCGCCACCATAGTATCGTGATGATAATCATCTCTCAGGTTCCTTGCCAATACTTTCATGATGTATTGTCCATCCTCATTAAACTGGTATCGAGATACCATATGGGTACAATGTGTGAAATCCATTTATGGTGTCCCCCCTGCCGTGATGTTGCTGGAATATTGCTAAAAGCGGCGTAAAAGCATACTCAGTCAGTCAGTGGCATCGAAATATGTCATCGCGCCACTTAGGCCACGATACACAGCTCTAGTAACCAAAAGCAATCATTGAAGATGTTTGTGTGTGTCATATTTGATTTGAAGACATTTCTTTTTTTCAATTTCAGTGTTGAGGTTTTAGTGACTTTAACAACGGATGTTGGACGTATTCTCGCCTCCCTGCATCAAGTTCAACCCAGAGGCAACATCACATTCATCACTGCAGTCAGGGTAGCTCATGTACGTCACACACCCAGACTGGAAGACAAACAGCATTGCTGACTTGCTTCTTTATCATTGACAGAAGGTGGCTTGTCTAAGGGACGCAACTCTGCACAGCAGGAAATATTGTTAATACCGGATATTACCACTTTAAAGCAACCCCCACATGTTAGGTGTCCCCCTTGTACAAACCTTCAAAACACTTATTTATATACTTTGTCGTATGATGTGACCCTGAATGAAGCACATCAGAGCATACTTGATCGCAATATTGTCTTCTACGATGCTTGGGCATGTAGTACCCCAGCACATGGCCCCATTTGTGTTGACATGGTGCAACACCAAATTTGTGACAGTAAAAGGGTTATTAAATTGAATAGCCAATTATCTATGTTTCAATTTACAAGGGTTACTTTTGTGTAACTATGAGGTGTTTATTCAACAGTCTGCAATACATGCCTTTTCCAACACTTGCTATGGGAAAAAACTGAAAGAATTGATTTCCGGATCACTGGTTAGATATCACTTGTTAGGTAACATGGGTAACTGATCTGGATTTTTCAAGTTATAAAAATGTAATTCCGTTATAGGTTTCAGTTAATTATACTTCATAGTTTATGTCAAGACAACAATTTATATAAAAAGATAGTTAGTTGTGAAAATGCAGTGATTATTTTGAAAAACATATCTATAATTATTAAATAAACTGGTAAGCCAAATTTTGTCGGAAAATTTGAGGTGCTCTTGCTCCTTACTTCAAGCTCTCCAATGGCGGGGACTTTTTTCGTCGTGTCAGCTGGATGGGCAGTTGTATTAGAGGCGAGGCTCATTTAAACTTCACTTGTATTCAGACACCGGTTAGAAAACAATGAAAGATCTTCTACCCCGTGAATAAGGCAACCCCCCTCCAATCCCCCTCTAATTCTCAGTATGCAAAACCCACCATATACGTCAGGGATTGTGATAGAGAACTTTGACAATGGGGCATTTTCAGGATTATTAGCCATTTTCTGAATTTAGAACAGGCCACTACCCTTGTATCAATAGTAAACGTCAACATTTTTATGGGCCATTTTTTATTTTAATGTGCAAAATGGCCCATGGCCCCTGCCTTTCCCAATCCCTGATATACGTTGTGATACATTTTACCTTTAAATCCCAAAGACTTGCTCAATAGTTTGATGCCATCTTTATCATAGACACAGCTTAACGAACAACACATGGATAATATTTTAAAGTTATCGTATTTCACGTTACACACATTCTCTTGTTTTTGCGCCATGGAGTGATAAAGACCTGGAGCGAACCTCTTATCCTTGTCAAACACACCCCTGCTCCTTCTACCGCCTCCGTGGTGTAGTGGTTAGAGCGTCCGCCCGGAGAGCGGAAGGTCGCGGGTTCGATCCCCGACCGCGTCATACCACCAGGAGACTACACGATCAGCCCCCAAGATGTATATCTGCATGTACCTATTCTGAGTCATCAGAAGTTTGTGTGGTTCATCTTCCAGGGAAAACACTACCAAGGGAAAGTATTCCTATTTGGCATATCTACGACCATGTGGCTATAAACTCACCTCACAACTGATAGTCTCTGTTCACACCAAGGTCAGAGTCAGACACTTTGTCTGGACTCACCTAAGGATCAGCGATGCTTAGGTAGATTTCTATGTGATCTGATAGAACACTGATTCCCATTCATTAGCATGGGATCACAACACTCTGGTGATATCCTGGAAGGGTCTAAACACTTACGAGTTTTCTTCAACATGCTTTGTTCCATAAGTTCCATACAAGTTCCCGGCAACCAAGATGATGCATCTGATTTTGGTTGCGCCCTACTGACAGCCAGAAGTTGGTTGTTCAACCCTTCAGTGATCCTATTATTTTTCTCGTGTGTAGGAAGTTCCAACCAACATCTAGGGATCTTTCAGTGGTTCTTTGCTTTGACTTAACAGCTGATTGTGAACCAATCGTGAGAAAAAACATTGAGTGCATCACCCTCAAGAAAGTCTTCCTCAAAGCAGAGGTACAAATAAGCTGCATATCTGCGTAAAGTACGCAAATATTTATGTGAAAACTCAATTCCTATTAAGTCTATTGTGTACAAGTACACTTGAATTTTGGTAAGTACTCAATAAATGTGATCTTACATGCGTACACACAATACTGTCAAATCTTAGCTTGCGTACCGGGGGTTAGATAAAATAACTGAGATATACTGAGAGGTTCTATTTCAGGAAATGAACTTGATAACTTGCAGTTTCTCATAATACAGATAAATTATAAATGACAAACACTAACAGTTTAACTTTATTATAGATTTAAAATTAATGGAAAATGGCAAAATACCCAATTGAGTTTGAGTGAGGTGAGAACAATTTATTTGGTTACTGAAAGGAAAATTAGGATACCCAATTGAGATGAACACAAGTGAGTACATAACTAAAGGACCCAAACAGTTATCTGTAGCTCTGTCAAAGCTCTCGCTACAGCAGCATTCATATCAACTGATAACATTTCAGAAAGAAGTATAATGGCAAGATCTTGATAACTCTCATGTTGGGACTTCACTGCAAAGAATCAACTGCCTGGTCAACCGGACAGATTGTCCACCATTTTGCCTCTTCCTTCCTTATGCCTGAGACCTGTGAAAATCAGGGTTAGAATTGGTCTTCAGTAACCCATGCTTGTTGTAAGAGGCAACTAACAGGATCAGGTGGTCAGACTCGTTGACTTGGTTGACACATATCGTGTCCCAGTTGCGTAGTTTGATGCTCATATTGTTGATCACTGGCAGGGTTCAAAATACCCCATATAGAGGTATTAGCATGCCATCGCACGGTAAATATTGAAATGGCACGGATAAAATATGTTCTCGTGCCCTTATGGCAAGCCTAATTTTTTTCGAGGCATAACTCACCTTTAGTCATTTAATCCCAAAAACAAAACACTTACGCAAATGACAAACAAGCAAAACATTTATTGACTTTATTGCCCAGGAAATCACTGGAATTATGATGGATGATGTAAAGAAATCTGTTGGGTTTTTTCCATTTAGAGTGATGGGAGTACTGTTAGTTCGGTTATTGAAGAGGAAATTGTGTATGTTAGATATATTGAAAAAGTGAACCTGTCACACAATTCTTAGCTATTAAAGGTGTTGGGAAAGCAGAACAAATGAAAGATAAGAAAGCCATCTTAAACAGAAGACATATCAGTGATAACAGAAAACTGGTTACATTTGTTGTTTTCTGACAATAAATTTCAAAAGATCATCATCCTTGCTACAGTCATTTATTCTAAAAAACATGTTGGCACGCCTGATTTCTGAAACGCACACCAAAAATATTTGTCTGGTGCCCTAAGGCCCACTTAGGAAAAAAAGTATTTCTATCCCTGACTAGATTGTCTGGTCCAGACTTGACTATTTACAGACCGCCGCCATATAGCTGGAAAGTTGTTGAGTGTGGTGTTAAAACACCAAGCAACGTTATGCCTGATGGTGTTAACAGTCTCTTTACAGTCTGATACCTGACTAGGACACTCATTGGTGTCCATCATTGAAGTATGTTTGGAGGTTTCAGACAGTGTTTACATCTGTTTGACTTGTCAGTAGCGGATGTCCCCAACAGTTTGGCCCCTTAGTCCTGGCTTACCAGCTATCTACTGCCTGACAATGCAGGGTTAACTCGGGAACTGATCCCACATTTTTGGAGCCCTGGAACAGAAATGTTATTCTCAAAAATCACATATAGTGACACAGAGAACATACAGCATATTGATACATATTAAAACATTGAACAAAGTCCAGTTTTGACAAATTTGGCAACTTTAGAGTTAAGTGGTGAATAATCACATTTCATTAGACAAACAATTTTTTCAATAGTGGGATGTTTACAGAAATATTGGGCAAGAACTTGATTTCTGAGGGCATTTAGTGCTGGACAGTATAATAAAAAAGTGAAGTTCATCACTGACATCTAAATTCACACTATGTTTCCATTCTTCACAATACTGGTCAAACACATTCAAAGATTTTTGCAATCCATCACTTGTTTCAGCTAATATGACAGTATCGTCAGCATAAAGTAATATCAACAATTTCATAAAGATACCAAGCTGGCCCTCAATAAGCTTATTTACATGTTCGAGGCCAGTTACACCATGTTCATAAAGAAAACACTCAAGATCATACAAGGTTAAATAACTGGAGAATAGGATGTTTTTATTACTTAAGATTATTTGAAGATGAAAGTGAAATAGTATTTATAAAATTCAGTATAAACAAAGGTTATAACTGAAGAACAGGATGTTTTATAATAGTTATTTTGTCACATCATTACATGAATTGATAAAACTATAGTTAATACCTAATGTTCAAGGGTACAGCTTAATTTAGCCTTATGCAACCAACCATAAAATGTGTTGTTTTAAGTGGTCTGTCTTTCGGGAGGTCCTTATGACTAGCATCTCACGGTTGTCGTCTACCCACAGACCAGCGTGATCTGTGGCGCACCATCCTACTGTAGTATAAGAGCATAATGTCAGATGGGATGAGTTTATGATAATTGCAAATTTGACTATATATTATATATTTATAATAATTATCCTATCTCATGCAATGGATTCCTGTCTGACCAACCACACTACACAGATTACCAGATTGGTTCTGGGTCCCCTCTGTAGTTCATGACTACATATATTGTACTAAAACCTTTTTTACCTTAATGAGTCCATGAGATCATTTTAGCATTTTAATAAAATATATAGACTTTCGGAACAGACCTGTTGAGACAGTTGATATTACCAATTTGCTTTGCAAATCCTGCATTCGACTGAAATCTGCATGACAGTTGCACTGTTGTTTATGGATGTTGACCAGTAACATAGATTTGGCTGGAAAATGCAAATACTTGTTAGACGAGCCAAAATGTAAGTGAGAAATTTCAGCGTAGACTATCAGGATGGGATCTGTCCTTATAAACCTTCTTGTATTGGGAACATGCCCGGGAAGTTGAATCAGTATCCACAGAAATGAATCTTTCTCAAAGACTATACCTGAGGACAAGTGTCAACCTTACTTCGCCGGTCCTTTGAATTTGTAACTAGTTCTGCTTGCTTCAAGACATAAATGGTTTCTGTGTTTTCATAGTCTGTCAGGTTTATTGAATTCTGTTTCCAGAATCACCAGTTGTTGCGAAGGCTGGCCAGTCATCCCATTTTGTTTGTGTTTTCCAGTTGGCACTGAAACATCGCCAAGGGAGAAACCACAAGCTGAGGATTGTTGTTTTTGTTGGAAGTCCAGTGGAGGATGAGGATAAGGAGGTCAGTAGAAGCTGCTATCATGGTTGTCATACATTTTGTAACATCTGTCTGCACTACATTGTTGTCAGGTTGTGAGAGAAGCTTTCACAGACATTTTCCATTTTGCAGTAACTTTGTTCTGAGTATTGGATTGACCACGGCTTCATGGGTCAACAATATTGTAACATATCATCAGTGCAGTTTGGTCAGTAGGAACTGTACTAGTTGTGATATCAAAACAAAACCACTAAATCTGATTCTAATATTTTTTTAAATTTACCTTTTATTACCTTTGCAATATCTTACATTCCTAACTTTCTATTACACTAAACCTCTGTCAAACAATCTAACACCCAAATGGTTACCACTAATGAACTATCTCAAGGCGTGCTGCCTTATCAACATATCGAAACGAACTAACTACAATTTCACTTCGAATTCCACACCTGGTGAAAACGCATGCTTTTTGCATGCTCGAGCTTTCCGCGAAGTAAGTTGTTGTCAGGTGTGTTTTCGCGAACTGTTCGTATGTACACAAACTGAAACCTAATAACCTGTCTGGTTAACAGTAGTGAATAAATCACTACAGTGAATGAACAATACATTTGTGTGGACAATCCTTTTGTCCACAGTTCTTTATGACAATTGTTGGCACAAAAATCACATCTACCACAAACTTAAGACATATAAATGTGACTGTCTCAGTTTGGTACAGAATTGTACAGTCAGATCTCCGGGAACAACATTTCCTATAGGGACTACAGGTTATGATTGTTGCAGTCCAAGCAATATGGAGCAGATTTGGCTTGAGTGGAATAAACGTATCCTGCAAGATATGTGCCACTCAGACTTTGATAGGGATAATCAGATATGTCATTCTATGTAGGTGAGTGAGTTTAGTTTTACGCCGCTTTTAGCAATATTCCAGCAATATCACAGTGGGGGACACCAGAAATGGGCTTCACACATTGTACCCATGAGGGAAATTGAACCCGGGTATTTGGCGTGACGAGTAAACGCTTTAATCACTGTGCTACTCCCAACGCCTCATCATTCTATTAAACTATACACTTGACATTATTATGAGAACTGCATGGTGTAAACCTATCCATTTCAGTGGTACAGCATTTTGAAATAATACAACAAGTTGCATTATTATTTGTATTTCAAGCTTAGAATCCACACACAAATTAATTCAGTAAATTGACTGACAAAACAGAAGCAATGAGGAACTAAATTTTCTCTCAAATTGTCATTTGTTTGTATCCACGCATGACTACAAAATAGTGGTAGGTGATCATGCTGTGTTATATTTACTTAAGTTCTGCATGTACAATCATGACTTTAGCCCCCAGTATGTATTTGAATACTGAAACTTGTATTGCAATATACTGTAATATTGTTAATTTTACGATGATGTCGTATTGGCCACAGTCGGTTTACTCGTGACTATCTGCTGAAAACGGATGGAGATGGACCTCCTATGTGTATCTCTTGCGACGAAGTGTTCACCATCAAGCATATTCTGCTTGACTGTGCAGACTTTTCAAATGCGAGGGATTCACATTTCGAAGCGGTAAATCTGAAAAATCTGTTTTCCTGCGTGGGCGGGCATCTCACTGTTAACTACCTGAGGGAAGTTGACCTGTATCATAAATTGTAACTATGTAATGTGAATGGCAAATTGCTTATTTGTGAATTTGGTGCTATGATATTTTCTGTTTGCAATTAAGAATGTAATGAATATATAAGTGTTTAAAATAAAACTCTTTTGGATTTCGACAGACCTGATCTCGTCACTATATGGCTGAAATAATACTGATGTGACGTAAAGCCCAACTCATGTTTGGAAAGTGTTCACTGCACATTGAGAAAGTGTTCACAGCACATTGAGAAAGTGTTCACTGCACATTGGGAAAGTGTTCACTGCACATTGGGAAAGTGTTCACTGCACATTGGGAAAGTGTTCAAGGCACATGGGGAAAGTTCACGCCACACTGGGAAGTGTTCACGGCACATTAGGAAGGTGTTCATGACACACTGTGAAAGTGTTCACGGCACATTGGCGTATGCGTAAAATCAGTTTGTTGTTGCAGCTGGTGAAAATGGCAAAGAAGTTGAAGAAAGAGAAAGTGTCAGTTGATGTTATCAACTTTGGTGAGGAGGTATGTGGCTGATCCATCCACACTGTGCAGTCTGTCAGCTGGTAGTAACATCCGTGGCATGGCATACAAAAGTTGCAGATCTATGAAGGCATTGAGAATCAAAAATATTTTTAAAGCAGTCATTGAGTCTTGTTATGGAGAAGATTATGCTATATGTTTGTTTATAATATTGAATTTTATTAAAAGATATTGTTAAGTTATTTTTGTGTTTGGAATTGTATTATCACATGATCCACAACTCATAATAATGCACACAGTTGACACGTTTCTCCAGATAAGGTTCAACTTGCATAAAATGGTCTGTAAAATGACCATTTCTATTTTTTGTTGCTTTTGTACTCATGGACTAATTAATATAAACCAACATCATTCATCTTGACTATGTTAACTATATTTAGTATTTAATTCTAATTGAACATAGACTCTACTGTGTGAATAAGTGCAACATCCAACGTATTGTAGCCCTAGTGAGAATACTGGTGTCTAATTAAAAGTCGTATTCAAAGTGCATCTTTTTCTATAAAAAGGTCCACCTATAAAAACACGGAAGTTGACTGGAAAATCCTATCAATACTGTACGTGAGTGATACATGGAGTAAAAGGCTTCTCCAGAGCCTTGCTTCACTTGTGTTTCATGTTGTGTCCTTGGCTGTTTCAGGGAGTGAACACTGACAAGCTGACTACATTCATCAATACTATCAACGGAAAGGAGGGAACAAGGTAAGAAATTTATAGAAATATTTCTCCCTTTGCATTTCAGATGCTGAGAGAAGCTGTGGATTAATTAACTTTTTGTCAAACAAACTGTGAATACCCAACTCCTGTTCCATAAATTCTTGTTGACATTAACAGTCACACTACATCTTAGTCACACAGCCTAGTGGTTAAAGCGTTTGCTGGTCACGTCGAAAGCCGGGTTCGATTTTCCCCATGGGTACAATGTGTGAAGCCCATTTCTGGTGTCCCCTACCGTGATAATGCTGGAATATTGCTAAAGCGAAATAAAACCCAACTCACTCACTGCCAGCATAGTTCTGAGGGAAACATAATCCTTGGCTGAAAATGCAAATGCACATTTGTTTTGTCCTGATTTTGTCCTGAAATCAGCACCTCACACCTCAGTCTGCACCTCACACCTCAGTCTGCACCTCACACCTCAGTCAGCACCTCACACCTCAGTCAGCACCTCACACCTCAGTCAGCACCTCACGCCTCACACCTCAGTCAGCACCTCACACCTCAGTCAGCATCTCCCACCTCACACCTCAGTCTGCACCTCACACCTCAGTCAGCACCTCACACCTCAGTCAGCACCTCAGTCCACCTCAGTCAGCACCTCACACCTCATCATGCCTCAGCAGCCTCAGACCTCAGTCTGCACTCAGTCAGCACACCTCACACCTCAGTCAGCACCTCACACCTCAGTCAGCACCTCACATCTCAGTCAGCACCTCACTCACCTCAGTCAGCACCTCACACCTCTCACATCTCATACCTCAGTCAGCACCTCACACCTCAGTCAGCACCTCACACCTCAGTCAGCACCTCACATCAGCACACTCAGTCAGCACCTCACCTCAGTCAGCACCTCACACCTCAGTCAGCACCTCAGCACCTCACACCTCAGTCAGCACCTCACACCTCAGTCAGCACCTCACACATCAGTCAGCACCTCACATCCTCAGTCAGCACCTCACGCCTCAGTCAGCACCTCACACCTCAGTCAGCAGCACCTCACACCTCAGTCAGCACCTCAGACCTCAGTCAGCACCTCACACCTCAGTCAGCACCTCACACCTCAGTCAGCACCTCACATCCTCAGTCAGCACCTCACATCTCAGTCAGCACCTCACACCTCAGTCAGCACCTCACACCTCAGTCAGCACCTCACACCTCAGTCAGCACCTCACACCTCAGTCAGCACCTCACACCCCAGTCAGCACCTCACACCCCAGTCAGCACCTCACACCTCACACCTCAGTCAGCACCTCACACCTGAGCACCTCAAGTCTCATTTCTTGTGTCTCCACGAGGGGAGATAACTCCTCCGTACCACAAGGAAGAAACACAGTGCAACCCTTGAACTAAAACAAATATTCAAGCTAAATTGAAGTATTCAGATGCAAGTTTGAGGTAGAAAATGCAATCATGTGTTGGAGTTAGTAACCTAAGAAGTATTATTACCATTGACAATGTTCAAATTACTTTGTGTGAGATCATTTAAGAGTAGATTTCAACATTCTTTTTTGCATTGGTAAAAAACAATGTGGCTATCATGTGATTCTGCATGGCAGCCTTATGCACAGTGCACACTTTTTGTCACTTTTGCAGCTCCATAAATGCAAAATCATTACCAGTCAGTACTTATAAATACATGTGTCAACAGTAATAACTTATAGACTGCTTATTGAATCACCCTCAAGACAACAGTACAGCATCCCAGATGCCGTTCAGTGCAAAAATACACCCATTCTAATTTGTCAATCAGGACGTTTATGTACTCATGGATTATTTAGTTAACCAATCAAATGACATGAAATCACTGGCAATGTATTGGTTACAGTTGATACAAAGGTAGAGGGTAGAGACAGACTGTGATGGTTATGATATGTTATATTAAAGTCCACGTTTGTCTCCGCAGCTCGCATCTGGTGACTGTTCCCCCAGGACCAATGTTGTCGGATGCTCTCCTCAGCTCACCCGTCATTGTTGGGGAAGATGGTTCCGGTGTTGGCATCAGTGCAGCTGGGTTTGAATTTGGTGTTGATCCTAATGAAGATCCTGAACTTGCTCTCGTAAGAACATTTACATTGTTTACAATGGAGTTTACAGTGTCATCAGTGATAATATTGAAATAAATAAAGTGTTACTTTAATTTGATGCAATTAATAACACCTCAGACATGCATGACATGGTGGCAGTGTGTAAGGTGAAATATTTTGGATTGGGTTCAATATCCATTTTTAGTGTACCTTTAAAATGGACTCATTGTACATGATTTAACCATACTGGGTTAAGGCCTTGTGATGGTTGATCTTGAAGGACCCTTATTAATAGACTGATAACTGTTTGCCATTGTTACATGTGTAGGAACGTTACAGCTCTACTGAGTAAAGTTACAATGTGTCTGATTACTGCCTCCATGACAAATGGTGTGTTGTTGCAGGCTCTGCGTGTGTCGATGGAGGAACAGAGAGCCCGGCAGGAGAGGGAGGCACGGGACACTGCCACACAGGCTGTGATGGAGACCGGCACCCAGGGGTCACCAGCTACAGAGGGTAGGGCACAAGGGTTTAAACCTACCTTCACATTGTTGTTTATTGAACGGCATTGAACATCCACACTACTTATTTTAAGTGTAGTGGCTACATTTGGGTTAATTCTGTGAAATATCACTCAAGATAGTTTTGATTATAGCATGTAATATGGCTGTGTCATACCGACAGACATTGGTACTTGTTGTTACCTTGCCTATCGATCATTGTGAAAGGGTTAAAACAAGGCCTGGACTGTGTACTTGATTATAGCATGTAATATGGCTGTGTCATACCGACAGACATTGGTACTTGTTGTTACCTTGCCTAGCGATCAGTGTGAAAGGGTTAAAACAAGGCCTGGACTGTGTACTTGATTATAGCATGTAATATGGCTGTGTCATACCAACAGACATTGGTACTTGTTGTTACCTTGCCTAGCGATCAGTGTGAAAGGGTTAAAACAAGGCCTGGACTGTGTACTTGATTATAGCATGTAATATGGCTGTGTCATACCAACAGACATTGGTACTTGTTGTTACCTTGCCTAGCAATCAGTGTGAAAGGGTTAAAACAAGGCCTGGACTGTGTACTTGATTATAGCATGTAATATGGCTGTGTCATACCAACAGACATTGGTACTTGTTGTTACCTTGCCTAGCAATCAGTGTGAAAGGGTTAAAACAAGGCCTGGACTGTGTACTTGATTATAGCATGTAATATGGCTGTGTCATACCAACAGACATTGGTACTTGTTGTTACCTTGCCTAGCGATCAGTGTGAAAGGGTTAAAACAAGGCCTGGACTGTGTACTTTATAGCATGTAATATGGCTGTGTCATACCGACAGACTTTGATACTTGTTGTTACCTTGCCTATCGATCAGTGTGAAAGGGTTAAAACAAGGCCTGGACTGTGTACTTGATTATAGCATGTAATATGGCTGTGTCATGCCGACAGACATTGGTACTTGTTGTTACCTTGCCTAGCAATCAGTGTGAAAGGGTTTAAACAATATCTGGACTGTGTACTTGATTATAGCATGTAATATGGCTGTGTCATACCAACAGACATTGGTACTTTTGTGGTTACTTGTTGCCCTTGCCCTAGCAATCAGTGTGAAAGGGTTTAAAACAAGGCCTGGACTGTGTACTTGATTATAGCATGTAATATGTCTGTGTCATACCAACAGACATTGGCACTTGTTGTTACCTTGCCTAGCGATCAGTGTGAAAGGGTTTAAACAAGGCCTGGACTGTGTACTTTTATAGCATGTAATATGGCTGTGTGATACCGACAGACATTGGTACTTGTTGTTACCTTGCCTATCGATCAGTGTGAAAGGGTTAAAACAAGGCCTGGACTGTGTACTTGATTATAGCATGTAATATGGCTGTATCATACCGACAGGCATTGGTACTTGTTGTTACCTTGCCTATCAAGTACTGTGTCTGTGTTGGGCATACATTCTGCGCTAGCATATACAGCCAACATTAGTCTGTACAGTACATCCCGATATTGCTGGAATATTGCAGAAAGTGACATAAAACCATACTCACTCACTCATTACATTTGTAGGAGGTAGTGTAACAATCTCATGCTTTTCATGGTCAGTAGGTGATGACATTGTTGAACAGCTCAACATTGTCACTCAGCGATAATATGTTTTCTGACAGAGAACTCCTGTCAATGAGAAATAATTGCCATTATGGGGAAGAAAGTAATTTGTGTGAATTTTATGTGAATGTGTAGTGTGGGGATTTTTCTTTTGTTTTATGCCTATTGTTTCTGTTTTGCTGTATTAAATGTCAGACATACTTATTTTGACTTTACATTTTTTTCATTAATGGGGAATAAGAACTGCCTCATACCCACCTAGTTATACTGCAGGTAGCAGGGGTTTCATGGTGATAATGCAGTTGTTTAAGTTGACCTACCAGGTCCCAGTTGCACAGCATCTCTCTACATCTACAGTCTATAAACATCACTGGACAATAAAGCTGAAACACGCTGGTTCCTAACAATAATAAGACCTGAATTTGATGAAAAGGTTTGATTCTAAAGTTTAATGTGGGTGACATATTCAAGCCTTTACTCAGCCTTTTCACTCAAAATGTAGATCAATTTGGTGTAGGTGTACCTAGTAGCGGACCTACTAATTTGCTGTCACTCTACAATAAACTTTGTTCTTGATTTTTCTCTTTGTTTAAACTGAAAGCCTTTTTTGTGTAAAATGTGATGATATTTATGTGTATTATTGTTTATAAGTGAGGCTCATCACAGATCTTACTTTTTGCCAAATTTGACATGCACAGTACAGAAATGTTCCCACCAGTGATCACACACTCAATGTGGTTCAAGAGTTTCAAATCAGATTTTCAATATGGCCACTGTGGCAACTACATTGAAAAACCTTGTCGTGTCATTTTTTTTGTATTGGATATCCAACAGCATATCCACTGTTGTTTTTGCAAATATTCTATACCTTTTCAGGGCAACAGATAAGGGGCGTACAGGCGTAATGTACGCCTAAAAATCAATGAAGTACGACATAATATAACATTTCAGCGTATCATGTACGCACATAAATACCTTTGTAAGTCTTACATATATAAAGTTTCATAGCTGAAAAGTTGTTTAATATTAAAAATAACAAACCACATCACCAACTCGCTCCTACAAAAACATGTCAGTACTTCTTCAAAATTCTCAGTACATCTCCACTTGCAATGTGAGGTGTAAGTACATCCGCATCCCCAAAAGTTATCTGGAGCCCTGCCTTTTATCAACCATGCCTGTAAATGGTTTCCAGATACAGTGGAAACCGCCTAAGTAAAGACCGCTTAACTAAACAGACCGGATAAGTAAACAAACACTATTCTTTGGTCCCAGTAATTTCTTCATTAATTATCACTATTAGAGTTCGGTTAACTAAACTCGGATAAGTAAACAATACCGCTTAACTAAACGTCTTCTCACGGTCCCTGGAAGTAAATTACTTAACAAAAGAGACCGGATAACTAAATTAGTGATCACCACATAATCCGACATGACCGTCAATTGTCAGTCTCCAGCTAAGCAAACATCCTACTTACAGCTTGCTGGCGTCATGCAGTTGACAATACACTTGACAACTGGAGGCCAGCCCTGATAAGTTGATCATTGTTACATATGCATGCATATACATGCATATGGTTGTCATCTGCAGGTTTTTATAAGTTTGGATAAGTAAAATACCTGATAAGTAAACAATTTTGGCGAGTTCCTTGAAATTTTACTTATCAGGTTTCCAGATTGATATTTATCTTGGTAACTTTAGTAACATTCCACAAGTGAGGCAGCTTTGGCAAGTTTGTTTTTGCTCACAATGACATATTATATTGAAATCATTTGATTTTAGTGTAACTTATCCATTCATGCAGAAATATTTGAATATCAACTCTGACAGTTTCATTGTGGAGAATATAGCTGTTGGTCCATTTGAGCTAAAGTGCACAAAATTTCATATGCTGATTCTGTGGTTTGTCCCTACTAATGTTGTAATTCCTTGCCCAGGTGGGAACCCTGAGGAGGTGCTTCTGGAGAAAGCAATTGCCATGTCCATGCAGACGGATGAAGCCACACCCACTCCTACCAGTGGCATGGACTTTGGAGCCATGTCTGAGGATGAACAAATAGCATATGCTATGAGACTTTCACTTAACACAGGTACCAGATCATGGACAAAGAATTCTTTAAAACATAGTCTGTGACTTTAGACACTACACCAAAACCAGTAATATGTTGAATTCTTTTGTCCTGATAGTATGTGTATCACTTTCTCTGTATTTTCTGCCTGACAGTGTGTGTATCATACAGTGTGTGTATCATTGACTTGTGTTCTGTCCTGACAGTGTATATATCATTGACTCAGGGGTCCAGATAAGGGCCGTATCGGCGTATGTACGGATAAGAAATATACACGATACGGTAGGAAATAATTAGAAAACGTAGTGTATACGCACCACAGCAATAGTGTACGGTCTTAGAATCATTTAGAGACATACTTATCTGAAACATGTTAAGCTGGTTTCAAGCAGTGTCCCATCTTTGAATTTATGTGCTAGTGACACATTTGGGTTTCTCTTCTCGGGGTTCTGGGAATCCCGGTTGCTAAGGAAACCATATACTGCAGCGACACATCTCGGTTAAATTTGATTGGTCAAATTTGTGCATATAAACATGGCAGCACAGAAACAAAAGTCTTTCAGAATCAAGACTGTGCCTGGACAACTTCTAAACAGTCAAGTAATCAAATTGCTGTACAAATAATGAACGAACTGCTTACTACTGTAGTATCACTCGTTCGTCTTGTTGTAGTCTCACAGGCGGTTCAAACTTACAAACTACAACGGTAAAGAATTGGTGAAGATCCTGCCCATGGCTCGCAATCGTCGTAACTGAAACAGTGATCGCAAACTGTTCCGTTCACTGTGTAAAAACGTGAAGAACAAAATGTGATAGCTACTACTGAATTGTGTGATGTACAAATTTCAGCCATTAAGAAGCATAACAAACACTACGAGCATAAATCTGCAATTCTGTCAAGCTTTAATCGTATAAGTACTTCTTCTAATGAATTAAATGAAACTGACAGTAATGACAACAAGGATTACGGAGTTGCTGGTATTAGATTTTAATTCAGATTTGCTTTGTTCAGTGTCACAGAGACTTTAACAGTGAGTATTGATTCCAGTTGTTGAAAAGTATAGTATGATCAGGATGATTGAAGGGGATGCTATTCAAACTTGCTTAATTTTGATTCCAAGACTGACATGAATAGTTTATGGAATTAAAGTTGTAGCATAAACCTTACTTCAAATGGCATTTAACTTAAAATGTTTCAGTCGTTCAATTTCAGTTAGAAATCACCAGTCCTTCTCACCGCTGTAATATTTTGAATAAACAGTTTTGTAACAAATCCATGATAACTCAAAATGTACTTTTGTAAAATGTAAAAGTTTTTCCAGTTCTCCTATATTGAAAAAATAAGGTGTACATACTCCTAATGTTGACAAATTATCTGGAGCCCTGGTTGACTGTGTGGTGTTCTGTCCTGACAGTGTGTGTGTCATTGATTGTGAGGTGTTCTGTCCTGACAGTGTGTGTCATTGACTGTGAGGTGTTCTGTCCTGACAGTGTGTGTGTCATTGACTGTGAGGTGTTCTGTCCTGACAGTGTGTGTGTCATTGACTGTGTGGTGTTCTGTCCTGACAGTGTGTGTATCATTGACTGTGTGGTGTTCTGTCCTGACAGTGTGTGTGTCATTGACTGTGTGGTGTTCTGTCCTGACAGTGTGTGTGTCATTGACTGTGTGGTGTTCTGTCCTGACAGTGTGTGTATCATTGACTGTGTGGTGTTCTGTCCTGACAGTGTGTGTATCATTGACTGTGTGGTGTTCTGTCCTGACAGTGTGTGTGTATCATTGACTGTGTGGTGTTCTGTCCTGACAGTGTGTGTATCATTGACTGTGTGGTGTTCTGTCCTGACAGTGTGTGTGTCATTGACTGTGTGGTGTTCTGTCCTGACAGTGTGTGTATCATTGACTGTGTGGTGTTCTGTCCTGACAGTGTGTGTATCATTGACTGTGTGGTGTCTGTCCTGACAGTGTGTGTATCATTGACTGTGTGGTGTTCTGTCCTGACAGTGTGTGTATCATTGACTGTGTGGTGTTCTGTCCTGACAGTGTGTGTATCATTGACTGTGTGGTGTTCTGTCCTGACAGTGTGTGTATCATTGACTGTGTGGTGTTCTGTCCTGACAGTGTGTGTATCATTGACTTGTGTTCTGTCCTGACAGTGTGTGACTGTGTGGTGTTCTGTCCTGACAGTGTGTGTATCATTGACTGTGTGGTGTTCTGTCCTGACAGTGTGTGTATCATTGACTGTGTGGTGTTCTGTCCTGACAGTGTGTGTATCATTGACTGTGTGGTGTTCTGTCCTGACAGTGTGTGTATCATTGACTGTGTGGTGTTCTGTCCTGACAGTGTGTGTATCATTGACTGTGTGGTGTTCTGTCCTGACAGTGTGTGTATCATTGACTGTGTGGTGTTCTGTCCTGACAGTGTGTGTATCATTGACTGTGTGGTGTTCTGTCCTGACAGTGTGTGTATCATTGACTGTGTGGTGTTCTGTCCTGACAGTGTGTGTATCATTGACTGTGTGGTGTTCTGTCCTGACAGTGTGTGTATCATTGACTGTGTGGTGTTCTGTCCTGACAGTGTGTGTATCATTGACTGTGTGGTGTTCTGTCCTTGACAGTGTGTGTATCATTGACTGTGTGGTGTTCTGTCTTGACAGTGTATGTATCATTGACTGTGTGGTGTTCTGTCCTGACAGTGTATGTATCATTCACTGCCTGACATGCTGTTGTTGCAGAAGGAGGTAGTGAAGGAAACACCCCTGCCCCAATGGAGGTGGAGGAGGACACAGGTGGCAAATCTGCCGCTGCTGCCACTGAGAAGAAGGTTTGTTGGTCTGTGCCTCTGCACGGGAGTTACTTATTTTATCCTATTAATTTCATTTTAACTGTGACTTAATTTCAACTGCTGTTAGTGTCCCTGTTGAGATTTCAGGTTAGAATTGGTCCTCGTTAAGATAGAAGGCTCCTTCACTCTGTCAACACAAGTGAAGCAGAAACAGTTAATGCTTTGACATCTACCGTATATGACCGTCTATAAGACGACCCCATGGATAAGACGACCCCCAAACTTGACCCTTAAAATCAGTGTCAAAATGGTATGTTTCGTGCATAAGTCGATCCCCCGTGATGGGGTCCTAATCGCGGCAAACACAGACCACAGACAACTGGCAGTTACCAATAATTATAACTTTGGTCCACATTATTCAAAGAATTCACTGTCATATATATTGTGTCTACTCACGGATCGAAACGAAGTGTAGTTGACAGAAAATGCATAATATATTTTGCTTCTCTAAATATCATATTTATTGTAGCAACAAACTGGCTTGCTTATTTTACCCCATCAACAATCACGAACTGATTACCGCCTTGTTTTCCATTGACTGCTAGTTTACAGTAACATCGGTAAAAATGTGTGAATTTAAATGGCTTCCGTATTTTACCCCATTCCATGTGCTTACCACGTTCATGAGGGTCCGTATTACCTTAGTGTTGATTATATATATTTTACATAAAAACTGTAAATAAAATTACACAATGCTAGGATATATTTCTTTGGGTGAAATAATAGTATTCTGTATTATATTTTACTGACGACTGCATCAGAATTCATCCCGTTATATTATTGTGCATGTTTGAACTTGTTCGCCGGGAAACGTGTGCACAGCTGATTGCTATTTCCGGCTCAAATACACACGGTAATCTTAATTAATTTATAGAGCAAAAACTGTAACTAAAATTACACAATGCTAGGATATATTTCTTTGGGTTAAATAATGGTATTCTGTATTATATTTTACTGATGACTGTGTCAGAATTCGTCCCGTTATATTATTGTGCATGTTTGAACTTGTTCGCCGGGAAACGTGTGCACAGCTGATTGCTATTTCAGGCTCAGATACACACGGTGTTAATCCCTGCAAATAATACAATGCCCAGCAAAAACAACTTATAACTTAAAAGGTAAATAATCTTGTCTAGTGATGTTTAATTGCAAATTTGACGTCTCTACTGACAAAGTCGTCTTCTGTTGTTTGTTCACGCGGAGTGATACGATGTTGTTTTCTTACCCTTGGAAAAAAGTTTGACGAAAGCGTAACCCATGGATAAGACGACCCCCTTCTACAGACTGCTTTTTTTGGTCCTCAAAATTCGGCTTATAGACGGTCATATACGGTAGTTCCCAGAGTCTTAGCTGACAGATGAAGCCTACTTTATCAAGGAATATATCATTGTCTGGGGACAATGAAGTCCAGGCCATCATACAAACATTCTCATTATTCAAAAAGTCCCTTGTTACCCTGGCTGCATGAGGCTGTGCATTATACTGAAAGTGAAACACAAAATGGTTACGACCGCCATGTTGATCCATCATTGTGAGTACAGACAGACGAAGGATTTTGTCAACATAACGTTGAGCATTCAGATTGCTGTTAACCACTACCATCTCAGATCGGATGTTGGCATTGATAGCACACCAGATCATGATACCACCCCCTCCAAAACAATCATGTTCAAGGATCATGTTTGGTCAGATTCATCACTACATCATGAAACAAATGTTCATTTCAATCAATGCTAATACCAACTCTAATTGACTGTGTTGAAATATGTTTGCACCCACCTGTCCTAATTAGCAAGTGATAACATCTGTATACCCCAACCTAAACTACCGTATATTGCCGTCTATAAGCCAAATTTTGAGGACCAAAAAAAATATGTCTGTAGAAGGGGGTCGTCTTATCTATGAGATACAATTTCACGGAAATATTTTTTAGCTCGCCAGTGCCCTGCCAGGACGATGTTACAGGTTACTGGTACATCTGCCAGGATGTTTGCCACGATTACAGCGTTTATGTTGTGAATGATGAATAAACTACATATTAACTTGTACGTTTTCCTTATTTCAACGTATTATTACATATTAGTCATTATGACATTTATCATACAATCAGCTGTGCACACATTTCCCCGCGATCAAGTTCAAACATGCACAATAATACAGCGGGATGAATTCTGGCGCAATCATCAGTAAAATATAATACAGAATTTATTTAACCCACAGAAATATATCCTACCATTGTGTAATTTTAATTACAGTTTTTGCTCTATACATTAATTAAGAATAAGATTACCGTGTGTATTTGAGGCAGAAATAGCAATAAGCTGTGCACACGTTTCCCGGCGAACAAGTTCAAACATGCACAATAATATAACGGGATGAAATCTGACACAGTCATCAGTAAAATATAATACAGAGTACTATTATTTAACCCAAAGAAATATATCCTAGCATTGTTTAATTTTATAATTACAGCTTTTGCACTATAAATGTAAAGTATATAATCAACACTAAGGTTATACAGACCCTCATGAACGTGGAACGTGGTACATGGAATGGGGTAAAATAAGGAAGCCATTTAAATTCACACATTTTTACCGATGTTACTGTAAACTAGCAGTCCATGAAAAAACAAGGCGGTATCAGCAAGCCAGTTTGTTGACATGTTATCGTCTAACTACAATATGTATGATATTTAGCGAAAACAAAATATATTATCCATTTTCTGTCAACTACACTTCATTTTGATGCGAGAGTAGACGCAATATGATTGTGAATTTTTTTAATAATGTGGACCAAAGTTATAATTATTGGTAACCGCCAGTTGTCGTGTTTGACGCAATTAGGACTCCATCGTTGGGGGTTAGCTTATGCGCGAAACATACCATTTTGACACTGATTTTAAGGGTCCAGTTTGGGGGTCGGCTTATCTATGGGGTTGGCTTATCTATGGGTTTAACAAGGATCAACTCAGATCCCACCTGCCCCAATAACAAGTATACCATCGGTAGTTAACAAGTGATCAACTCACCCATCCCACCTGCCCCAATTAACAAGTAATACCATCTGTATGCACCACCTGCCCCAAGAAACAAGTGATACCATCTGTATGCACCACCTGCCCCAATTAACAAGTGATACCATCTGTATGCACCACCTGCCCCAATTAACAAGTGATACCATCTGTATGCACCACCTGCCCCAATTAACAAGTGATACCATCTGTATGCACCACCTGCCCCAAGAAACAAGTGATACCATCTGCATGCACCACCTGCCCCTGTTCACCGCCTCCGTGGTGTAGTGGTTAGAGCGTCCGCCCGGAGAGCGGAAGGTCGCGGGTTCGATCCCCAATCGCGTCAAACCAAAAGACGTTAAAATATGGTACTTGTTGGTCCCTGCCTGGTGCTCGGCATTAATGGGTACAACAAGGACTGTTCGGCTCGGAGTGAGTATAATGTGTCTGAGTGGGGTATTCATGCTTCACTGCGGCATGGTATCTCTGTGGGCTAGCACTATAAAACCAGCTTCAGTCTGGGCTAGTACAAGCAGCCTCACATACACATACACACGCATGCACGTCGTCATGTGAGCTGAAATATTCTCAAGCACGACGTTAAACCCAATTTCACCTCACCTCACCTCACCTGCCCCTGTTAACAAGTGATACCATCTGTATGCACCACCTGCCCCAATTAACAAGTGATACCATCTGTATGCACCACCTGCCCCAATTAACAAGTGATACCATCTGTATGCACCACCTGCCCCAATTAACAAGTGATACCATCTGTATGCACCACCTGCCCCAAGAAACAAGTGATACCATCTGTATGCACCACCTGCCCCAATTAACAAGTGATACCATCTGTATGCACCACCTGCCCCAAGAAACAAGTGATACCGTCTGTATGCACCACCTGCCCCAAGAAACAAGTGATACCATCTGCATGCACCACCTGCCCCTGTTCACCGCCTCCGTGGTGTAGTGGTTAGAGCGTCCGCCCGGAGAGCGGAAGGTCGCGGGTTCGATCCCCAATCGCGTCAAACCAAAAGACGTTAAAATATGGTACTTGTTGGTCCCTGCCTGGTGCTCGGCATTAATGGGTACAACAAGGACTGTTCGGCTCGGAGTGAGTATAATGTGTCTGAGTGGGGTATTCATGCTTCACTGCGGCATGGTATCTCTGTGGGCTAGCACTATAAAACCAGCTTCAGTCTGGGCTAGTACAAGCAGCCTCACATACACATACACACGCATGAACGTCGTCATATGAGCGAAATATTCTCAAGCACGACGTAAAACCCAATTTCACCTCACCTCACCTCACCTGCCCCAAGAAACAAGTGATACCATCTGTATGCACCACCTGCCCCAAGAAACAAGTGATACCATCTGTATGCACCACCTGCCCCTGTTAACAAGTGATAACGTCTGTATGCACCACCTGCCCCTGTTAACAAGTGATTACATCTTGTTATTCATCTTTTGTTTCTTTCTGCAGGATGCGGATGAAGATTACTCAGAAGTCATGAATGACCCAGCCTTTTTACAAAGTGTGTTAGAAAATTTACCAGGGGTTGATCCAAACAGCGAGGCTATTCAGAATGCAGTCAGCTCGTTAACAAATAAAGATGGTACAAAGAAGGAAGATGGAAAAAAAGACAAGGATGCCAAATGAGTTGGGACATACTGTGACATTATACATTGTTATCATTTGAAAGTTCAGAATACAACATCACCTTGCAGCCATTTATGCAAAATTGTACAATTCTTACTTTTTAGTTGCCTTGTGTGACTGAGTCAGTGTGAACATAGCCTCACTTGCTGAGTTTTTGAAAAAAGGACTTGAGAGTTCAGGGGTGGAAATAACTTTAAAATTGCTAGCGTACTCCGGTACAGTGGCACATGTAAAATCAATTTCCCTGATCATTTTTCCACTATACCGGCCGTTTTCTTGTTGATTTTTTAAATAAACATCATAATTAACATTGGAATATCAACTGGACACCGGTACAGTGTGATATACAAATTTGCTTGCCCGACAGAAAAAAAACACTGGACTCGGGCGTCGGGCAATGGGTTATTTCCACCTCTGGAGTTAAGGGTGAGGACTTTCCAGTTTTGCATGAAACGGTTTTGTTCATGAGTAATAATACCATGCTTTGAGTATTAATCTTTAGATTTGAAACCAGAGCTAAAACTTGGAAATTGATGTTAACAGTTTTGCAGTCTTGTTTGTAATCATTTCATTCACGAAACACACCGATGTGTTGTCAATGTGTCAACTACCAAAATAAATGTATGCCATAAACATGGTTGATGTTTGATTCTTTGAAACTGTCAGTCCATTGTAAATTGAAACAGTCAGTCCATTGTAGGTTGAAACTGTCAGTCCATTGTAGGTTGAAACTGTCAGTCCATTTCAGGTTGAAACTGTCAGTCCATTTTAGGTTGAAACTGTCAGTCCATTTCAGGTTGAAACTGTCAGTCCATTTCAGGTTGAAACTGTCAGTCCATTGTAGGTTGAAACTGTCAGTCCATTGTAGGTTGAAACTGTCAGTCCATTTCAGGTTGAAACTGTCAGTCCATTGTAGGTTGAAACTGTCAGTGCATTGTAGGTTGAAACTGTCAGTGCATTGTAGGTTGAAACAGTCAGTCCATTGTAGGTTGAAACTGTCAGTCCATTGTAGGTTGAAACTGTCAGTGCATTGTAGTTCGATGGTGTCAGTCCATTGTAGGTTAAACCTGTCAGTCCATTGGCGACTAAATTTGTCAGTGCCTTTAATGCTGAACTTGTCATGGGCTTGAGATTTGTCAGTGACCTTTAATGCCACGTTCCTGCAGCCTTGTAGGCTTATCCTATCAGTGCCTTGTAGATTACCTCGTAGGCTAACCTCGTAGGCTTACCTCGTAGGCTAACCGGGGCGGGGTAGCCTAGTGGTTAAAGCGTTGGCTCGTCACGCCGAAGACCCGGGTTCGAATCCCCACATGGGCACAATGTGTGAATCCCATTTCTGGTGTCCCCCGCCGTGAGGTCGCTGGAATATTGCTAAAAGTGGCGTAAAACCCAACTCAGTCAGTCAGTCGTAGGCTAACCATGTCTGTGCCTTGTAGCGGTACCTTGTCTGGTAGGCAGTGTTTGCCTTCACTTACTCTCCAATCTTCTTGCATACTCAAAATTTTACTCTTATGCCCACAAGACCAAAGTACCCATTGAAGTCCAAAGGAAGTCATTTTAAGTGTACGATTTATATTGGATATATTTACAAAAACAACCAAAAAAAAACAACACTTTTTTATTAAATGAGGAATGAGAAGAGATGCATTTGTACCTTTTCAATGAAATATCGAAGCATGATTAAAAAGGTTTATATGAGTTTGAGCAGTTAAGGGAATAATTGTATTTTCAGCCATGTACTGTGGGTCCTTACTTTGGGTCTATATGGGGACTTTAACTGGACTCTTACGTGCAATGATCAATAAGGATTTATGCTTAAGCTACCTCAAGGAACAAATGTGTTGTGTCAACTGTATATGAGAAAGCTGAGACGAGGTGAGTTTGAATGTTGCATGTGCACTCCTGTGGTGTTTAGAAATGAAGGCACTGCCAGGCCATCAGTTGGGTTAATTTTTGGTTTCAGCCACTTCTAGCAAGTCGGCATGGTGCAACATTTTACCTGTGCCAACTTAAAAGGGATTAGCGAAACAATGGCAGTGGGGGGTTAAATCTGGGGGACATGTCAAAAAAAGGTCGGGGCAATAGTTATTTTCGACTGGCAAGATGATGTGTTTATTTACAGTATATAATATTTTCATTACATCATAACTGAAACGTACATTTTATATTCCTTTTCGTTCATTTATTGATAAATTAATCAATCACTTTTAAAAAAATTAGAAGCACTTTTTATAAATTACATTTATTTTAAGCAACTCATATATTTCATACATTTATTTCAACACTTTTCATGCATTTCAGTTAATCAATCACATTTCATACATTTTATTTCATTCAAACATGCAGCAACTTCGTCCACAAACTGCATTAGTGACTCGGTTAGTCTGAAGTCTTCTTGAGAGTCAAGAAGCGGGTGTCCAAGTTTCGATATTTCCTTTTCTTTGGTGGCCTCATTCCCTCCAATTCGGTGCTGGTGCTTATCTGGCAGGAGGAAGAAGACCAGCGGAAACATGCTGTCGTCGACGAAAGGTATACAGCTGGTGGGGACAACGTGTAATGTCCCATCCCCATACACAATGTAAGCATCACAAAGATTGCGAAGGTTTGCTGACGTTGCAAATCCAGGGATTATCTGGATCTGTCGACGATGAGGAGGAAGTCTCCCTTGGAGTTGGCGTCGACTTCGTTTGTATTTAACAACGTTTTAATGATGGCTTTGTACGGATAATGATTGTTTGTGGAATTGATAAGGCGTCCCTGTAGCCAGACGTCCACTTGAGAGAAAAGTGAGTGCAGAAAAAAGATTGACCGGAGAGCATTCGTCCCCGAGCGTCAGGCTGGTTCCGTCTGCTTTGGTCACGTGACATTTGACGTACAAGGACGAGCGCCTGAGATCTATGTAATCTAGACTGTTTTGTCCGCTAATGTGAAATTCGATAGGAGCTGATCCGGACAGGGGAGAAATAGGGCGACAGTCTTGTAGATACGTCCTTTCTACTGCCGTTTGCGTCGGGGGTAGACTAAATAGATCCAGTTCTGGTGGTTGGGTTTCGCTTAAAAACCCGGACTCTAGAGAATATGGTAGACATAATTAGCTAAATATATTTCTGTATGAGAGCGATTTCCCTGTTTTCGCTTTTTTTCCCGTATGTGGATATTTTCCTCGTCTTCCCGTTTTTTCTGCTCGGAGCTTTCTTCGTTTTCTTCTTGCGCGGATTTTTGTTCGTACATCTGCCTTTCGTAAGGGTCTTCTTCCAACTGCCTCCTCCGTGCTTGCGACCTCTCCTTTTAATCTTCATACCTTCATTTATGGCTACCTTGGAGACGGTGTCTGGGTTGTGTTCGATCTCCGACTTGGCTTGTTCTACTGCCTGTTCTACCGGACTCACGAGGTTTATATCCTTTGCAACGTCTACCACTCGTTCGACACGCGCCTTCGGGAGAGTTGACGTGTCACGTGGTGAGGAGTTGATGATCATCGGAGGATTTGATGCGGATCCTGGTGACATAGTCGTGACATTGTTTCTGGAGTTATTGTTTTGGTGAAAATAGGGGTTTATTTTCCCGTGCGCTACATCACCGTAATATTTCTTCCACGTGTTTGGATTCGGAATATATATCGTGTCGGTTGCGTTTGGTAGTGCGTCATCGGTATCCATATGGGTAAATGTTATGTAGTTAAAGGATATGGTCTCAGCTGCAGGGTGATAGACGAAATGTCAGTCAGAAAAGTGGCTGGATTGCCCCAGGCGTCCGTTATATAAACATCAAAGCGCTCCACGGTATCGTTAATTACTCTCACGTCGATGTCGTAGGGTTCGGAGAACGTAGCCTTCCACGTCGATGCTGTTGACTGTTGCACTCGTCTCAACAGAGGTTGACGTTGGCCGTGGACTATGATCGGTTCGCAAATGGAACAGAATATATACAACATTCCATTCAAAACATCTCGTTTCTTATTGGCGTTCTTCCTTCTGGCGTATACTTCTCGTAGCGATATGGTCCAATGTCCGTTAAGTCTGAGTGGTTGTTTCAGGTACACGGAAAATTTATAAGGTTTATTTTCAGGAAAATACTCGACGCTATCGTCGCTCTTAGTCACAATCCATTCCGTTGTTGACATCATTCTCTCACTACGTGTACGTTCTTGATTTGGTCAGCGTCGATCAATGAATTGAATTTCTTTGGATATCCCAACCACTTCACTAAAACACGTTTGGTCCTTTTCTTACTTCCTTTCTTACCGACGTATTTCGTTTTGAGTATTTGTTCAACTCGCCAATTCACTTCGTTGGGATCGTGAGGATATTTCTGCAACTCGTTTTGATAAAAGGATCCTTTAATGGGATCGGATTGGAGGTCTTCTATCCAGTATACGTGTATATCGTCTCTTCCGACCATTTCTGTTCGTATTCCTTCTCGAACGTTCTCTTGACCAATGATACTCTGACGTGGTCTCCTACATTAAATGCAAAGTTGCTGTTTCGTAGAGGTTTGATATTCGCTTTGTCCGCGTATATATCCAACCATATGCTAGCTTCGTTTGATGGTTTCACTTCCACGGGTGCTCTTCCTCTCAGGCTCCTGTGCGGGCGATGGTTGTAGTTATAAACAAGGTCTTGTAATACGTCGATGTACCTATGGGTATGAGTATACGTGAGGAATCTAGATCATAGATCTCAAAGTACGAATGAAACGTTCGGCGTAGTTCGCTTTAATGTCTGAGTTTTGCGTAACAAATTTTTTGACGTTAAATAGAGCGTAAATCCGTCGCACTGTTTGATTATTAAATTCCTTTCCTTTGTCCGTTCTTACACTGTATGGCGGTTTCTCCATGGATGACAATAGTTCCCTCATCGCTTTGGCGATCGTGTTTGATTCTTTATTTTCCATAGGTCGGACCCAGACATACCTCGAAAAGCAGTCGATTACGATGAGAATATACTTAATTCCATCGTTGTCTTGCGCTAACATAGAAACGTCGCATAAGTCGCCGTCTGCTTGTACGTACATTCCTCCCACGATGACTTTATTTCTTGAAAACCGTTTCTTTGGTAAACGATGTAGGTTGTAGGCGTCTTGCGTTCTCATCCATCTTCGTACGCCATGAGAAGAGACATTAGGGTTACGATCCTTCAGAGCGGCATAAATTT